ACCAGAGTACAATGGCATCTGCCTCGAAGCTTATCTTTTGTGTCCAGCTTAAGTCCAATGTGTTTCGCTGATTCCGAGAACCGCCAAGTTGTATCTCCTCATTTCCACAGCTATTTGATTGGTCCTCCTAGTCCCCTACATTGTCCGGATATTCCATGCACCTATGATAATTATTACTCTGGTTGTTAGAAGGGGTATCGGCCTTGTGATTTTCTAAGAATCTCAGCTTTGACTAGGAAGTGTCATAGTTCTTCTAAATGAAGATTTTTCAACTAAATGGAGAGTTTAAATGGTTTAAATGATTGTTTTTTGGTTGGGTTTTTTTAGCGAAATTGTTTTTATGGGATGGAATTTCTGACCTTTTGCTCAATTCTCCTTTATTTGTACTTGGGATTGGGAGTCAACCTAGAAAAGCTAGAGGTGGAGTCAAAAAACTCTCAATAAGTTATAAAACAAAACAGGAATCAGGAATGTGATCTTTTCAAAGATCTCATTTTCAAACTTCAGACATACAGAACGATCATTCAGTTACTAACAGTAAGACTCAGTTACAGAGTATAAATTTGTATGACTTCGGTAAAATTGTTTCTTAACAAGTAATCAAAAATTTATTGAGTTGAGAAGTCAGACAGTATTCATTTGACGGGATTAGATACCTCAACATTAATGAATAAGTAAGAAAGCATATACGTGCAAGAATTGTTTTATTAAAAGATCAAAAACAATATGATAATGACAAGAAATGAAAATTTCAATTTGAAAGTAGAAGGTTGGAATACTTATCAGAATTACATTCATAAAAATCTAAGGGACTGATCAAAGTATAAATTGCTACAACTTCTTCAGTTTCAAGTAATTTTTGACCAATGTTTCAAGAATTTTCGGCAAAAAGACTTGAATAATGACTCCAAAATTGCTTTCGATATGTTTAGAACTACCTAAACTTTCACCAGAACTGAATTATACATAAATTAATTATTGAATTGAAAGTTTTCAGTTGTCACGTGAATGCACTACCTAATAATCACTATATATCCTTTAGGATGAGAAACTTTCAACTAAACATAATTTAATTTACACTAAAATTGAAAAGAAAACATACAATATTTTTATGAACAGTATCATCAGATCGATTCTGTAAAACAATGATGATGTAGATCTTTGAGATCAGTAATTTTTGCACAAAAATAAATTCTTAGCTTCATCTGTTCAATGGGATTATGAGATTATGGAGAAAACTAAAATGTTTGAAGAAACTTTTAATGGTTGGAATTTTTTACTTTACGTTGACTCTGTTGACATTACAATAACATAACTCAAACTGTTCTTATTAATTTACCAAATAGGCAACCCAAGTGCACTAGATACAACAGTAGCAACAACAGTTGGAGAAAATGTGACGGACGCTGCATTGTTACCAACTGTGTCAACCGTAAAATCATCAACAAACACAACACAAATATCTTCTCTACTGAGCACTGCAGTAAATACACTCTTAAATGCTTCATATGTTGGTTCCGTGCTAGCAGTTACATCCAGTCCTACTACTGCTAATACCAGTACAACTACCATTAGTCCTACTGTTGTTGCTGCAACAACAACTATTGCTGTTAGTCCTACTACTTCTACTACTAATACTTCGAATACAACCACCATTATGGTGACGACAAAGAATACTACAACCACTAATACTACTTCTAACACCAATGTAATTACTACTATGACCAATAGCACTGTTAGTTCTACTACTAACGATACCACCTCAGCGATAAGGAATACTAACATTACTAATATTAATTCCACGACTAACACAACTACTATTGGTCCTATCTCTAATGTGACTACTACCACTGTTATTTCTGCCAATACCACTATGGCAACTACTACTACAACTCCTAAAACTACTATTACTAATACTACAGCGATGACGACGAAGAATACTACAACTATTACTACTATTACTACGACTACTAACGCAACAACTACCAATCCAATTACTACTAATACTACTAACTTTAAGGAAACGAATGCTACAACCACTAATACTACTTCCACAACTAACACAACTAATATTAGTCCTACTACTACTACTGAGACTATTATCAACACTGTCAAACCTACTACAAATACTACTACTTCCAATACTTCTCAGAGTTTATTGACTTTAGGAACTCCAAGCGGTAAACAATGAATAACACTGAATTGTTCTTACTATTTAACTGTGTATAAAATACGGTTTTTATGAAAGAGAACTATAAAATAGTGGATGATTAACTCTCTACCAAATGAAATTGTTGAAAGTGGTTTTATAAAATTCTTCAGAAATTTGTGGAAAACCCTAAGTATTCCTTTAAATATTAATCTAGTCAGTTGAATATTATTCTGATGATAGTTGCAAGCAAAAATGTTTCGCCTATGATACAATGATAGTTTCATTGGCTTTTGAAAAATAACAACTGTATTTACTGTCAACTACTATGACATACATTAGTTTTAAACCCAACAATAAGATCTTGAACTTTTACATGAAGTTACGAGAAAATTTTTATTGTTGGACATGTGCTTTCCAATTGCTTGTCACTAAGCCTCATTATTATTTTCTCTTCAAATTCAATTTTATGTGGCAGACATTACTGTAAAAAATATCACTTTAATATCAATTAAATCTAATTACATTTATGGATATTTGGCTAGCAAAACATAATTTTACGGAGAAATCAACGTTATTTACTGATATCTTATGTAGATTTATTTAAATAACTACTGAATCCATAATTATAAACTGACCATTGATTGATCAGAACAACCGTAAATTGTCAACTAGCAAGACATTTCATAATAAGAAAATATCAATTTATTGGATAAAGTATCTGTACATTGAATACGTTTCCAAAAAAGACTTTATCTGGTGATATTCACATGACAACTGGTGACTGATAGTGAGATGAATTTCACCGAATCTAGTAAATTACCTTTTCAATTCCATCAAGTTGAATATGAAAGAAATGGTAGGATATAACATTAAATAAAAGTCATTTTAAATCGCGAATGTCTCAAATTAGAAAATCTGCACAAATGAACTTCGACTTGGTGTTGAAATGAGACCTGAAAATCCTTAACTCGTTCTCATGTAGTGTTATGGATATTGAAGAGTCTCTAGCTGAGAAGAAACATTAGTCTATTAAGTAGAAAATTCTACTGGCTCTCTAACTGAAGTCGATCATTACTAATAACTGTATTGTCTAAAATCATTTTAAATTATTGATATTTTGAATTAGTGTTAACTTTTACCTCTATCAATAGGTGTTATCAATACGAACAAGTCTATCACTAACACTACCAGTTGGACCTACATCAGCAACACTACAAATGCAACCACTACTACTAACACCACCATTCCGACCTTTATCACCAATACCACAAACGCAGTCACCACTGCTAGCACCACAAATTCTACCACCACTATCAGTTCTATCAAAACCATCACGGGAGTCATATCATCAATTATTATTAGGTTAGCTTCTTTTGAAGATAATACAGGTCCAAAACCAATTCAACTCCCAGTTCCGAAATATGAACTGCCCATTGAAGACTTAGCGGGTAAAGAAACTTCTACAAATTAAGGATTACTGTAGTTGTTATTTTTAAAAACATTAATTATTTTTAATAAATAATTTAAAATCTAAATTTGTTTTCGGTATTAGATTAAACTGTTTACATTAAAGTGTAGCATTACAGTGCATTATTCATCAATATATTCCGCTATAGTAATAAGTTATTTGTAATAATGTTTAAATATTTCTACGAGAAATACACTCGGGATTTATAATTATCAGTCAACCAACTTCGGCTGGTCAGATAGTGTGTTTACTCCTCGTATAATATGTATCGATCAGTGGTTAGTATATATATTACCTGTACATTGTAATATCGTTCCACTAATGTTTACATAATGATTATGCAAAAATATTCTGTTTACTGATATGACCTATTTTGATGAATGAGTTGTTTTAACCACTAAGTTATGCGGTTATTTGCCTTCTGTTATACGAGAGGTAACTTGTGTAATTCAGTGATTATCGAATAGGTTGTGTCGATCATGATGCGTTCTATGTTGGAATGTCTTCCAGTGAGAACTCTACTCTTGCCAAGGAACACCTAAATTACAAAAAAAGACCTCCCAACAGGTCATTGGATGCTGTTTTAGTGGTCTAGAGGTTAAGCGTTCACGTGCAAGACCGAGGGTCCTGGGTTCGAGTCCAGCAAGAAGGATCGTGAATGTGTACTGCTGAGGAGTCCCACATTGGGACGAAACGGCCATCCAGTGCTTCTAGATTTTCCATGGTGGTCTAAAATCGATTGATTCGTGATCTCAATCAGAAACATATGACCTTGTTTACTTTCTACACACATACACACACCTATTTTCTTCCTCATTACTTGATTTTACAAATGAATACATTTTTCATACCCCACACTCTGATACAGAAATTATTACAGTGATAAGTCACAAAAATTAACATTGATCAAGAATAACTAGACATTGACATTTTCAGACCTATTATGATTTTGATTGCACCAAAAATATTCTGCATTGTTTCCTTTATACCACTTAAACTCGTGTTAATTTAACTTGATTACTTATTCACTCTGAAGAAGTGGTTTACATTAAGTAACGAAACATGAAAAATACAGTTTTCCTACGCATTGGGATATAACAAAAATATATTTATTATTCAGTAATTCAATAATAAACCTCACATTTTGAGAAAAGTCCTAAATACTAGAACACGTGGGAACACAATAGAACATTTGCGAATAGTGGAAATGCTGTTTCTGTATTCCATCTTCAGCTGTTGATAAATATAAATCAGAAATGCAAATTTGATAGGTAATGCTCATATAGTTCTGGAGAAGGTATATAACTGCTGAACCGTAACAACCGACTACTATTCGTTACACTCTGCCAATCACAATGCTTTATATTGATCAGGGTTTTCATGTTACTTTTATTCTTTCTTTTGCGTACAGATGTTCGATATGAAAACACTGCAAACCACTATTGGTCATTTAAAAGAGTGGTTGGGAAATCATTTATCTTCGATCGTGGTCCAGACCGTAATACACTGACGCGATCGATATATGACAGATTATCGCTTTTCGATAGTAAATTAAGTAACGCTGGTCCAATTTACAATGACTTAAATAACATGAAGAAATCTTTATTTATATCCTTAAATGGAACCCTGCCAGAAAAAAGATTAACTACTCCCGGAATTCATGATACTCAAGATAGTATTCACATTACTTTAAATGAGAATGAAAGTTGTATTTGCTTGCTGAATGACATTACACGTGAACGATATTACTTTAAACAGTGTTTGCTAGACATTAATGAATGTGATTATGGATTGAGTTTGTCGATTTGGCTTCAATTCACGACAGAAACATTCAATCCAAAAGAAGTCCTTATATCAACAGGTAAGCTTTAAGTGTAATCAGTCACTCTAAGACTGATGAGCTGTATTGATAGTTGGAAGCATTTAATATTATGAATAATCTGCACGCATATATACTTTTCGAGGCATACGTAGAAACCAATAAAATTCATGAACTAGTTGAAGTTGGACATTGGCACTGTTGCGTCTCGGTTCAATAGTCATGAAGTTAAGCTTTTTTACACAAGACCAAATATCCTGGATTCGATTTCTGGGTGTCAGGTCATGGATGTGAACTGGTTAAGAGTTCCATGCTAGGACGAAATAACCATCTAGTGCTTCCAGGTTTTCCATGGTTGTCTGGCTTAAATCAACTCCTAAATTCAACTATTAAAAATTCCTTATTTATTCAGTATCATATTAAATTCTTCTATCCCATATTTAAAGTAATCGCTTTTGTTTATTTATACTCTTATTTATTTGAAATTTATTAATTTTCATATAAAATGCCTTGAAAATTACATGGGGGACCATATTATTCGAAATGTATAACGTGAATGCAGCACATTTTTCAACTCGATTCACATCCTCCCACCGTTCTATAAAAATGTGTGTATGTCATATAGGTTTAATACTAATCCATGTTCCAGAGAAAAGGAAGAAAACATTATGATCAAACTTACACTATCCTTCATTGATTTCTACAGATATTTATTCCAAATTAATACGGATACTAAATCGATTAATTTAGCACAAATCTTCAAGATAAACAAGTTTCATAACATTACGTCAACGAATCAGAACATATTAAGCTTAAATCTAATAGACTTGAGGAAATTTATCTGAAATTACAATATGTAACAATAACCGCTGCAACTAGCAGTTAATAGCTTTACATAAGTTGAAAATAACGATAACTAAAATTTTCACTGGTGGTTCACAGTTTCTTATCACTTCTGTAACATCTGATTCATGGATAATGGATGATATCCAATGGTCTTAACAAAACATATAGTGACAGTAAAAATTACTCATGGTTACCACTGGAGGTTGAATGTTATGACTGCGTTGCCAATTGTTCTACTTGGTCGTCGTTAATTGTTATGTCGTAATCGCTTATCACTTATACTTGTAAAATGAGGAACCATGGCAATCCCCACCACACGAAGTAAGAACACTAAGACTGGTACAAGTGAATATTTATTAATCCTAAAACACAACGACAACCCTAGTCGAAAATACACTCGATACATATATTGATTGTAAATCTATTTTGACTATTACTTAGGATCAAATCATATATCTGAAAAATACCCGGGGTTATAACAAATCACATGTTCCATGCCATGCCGAGTATATTTCATGTTAAATTAGTGCCAGAATATCGTAGGATATATCGAATAAAATATCCCACTAGAAAACAAAACCGAATGCTACACTAAGTAACTAACACATCGAATTTAAAAAAAACGGAAGTACTATTGAGCAAAAAATACTATGGGGAAAAGAATCTAATGTTGCCTATTTATCCCACCATATCACCACTACATTAACAGCTACATTTAATAGGCAAGCTAAAATCATTCAAGTCTGTAACTACACTTACTGATAAATACCAACAGCTTTAAGATCAGTTCAAGATTATTAATCGATTTCATCTCACTGTTTGATGTCATTTTTAAAAAGGATATGCATTTTTCGATATAGATGACAGTAAGATCAACGGCCCTGGTACAATGTTTCACTTTATTTTGTCCATGCTTATTTTATTGGATTAACTACTTCATAACTTAAAATCACTATAGATGTCATGGAGCCAACAACTGATAAATTCTGAGAGCTTAATCATGAATTATATATTTAAGGTGATCGAAACATTTATTTAAATTGTGTTATCTGCTTCCTACATATTTAAACTATAGCTCCAGAAAAAGGAAAAGGCTTTTCTCTTTTAATTAACAACGGGATGTTAGAATTTGAACTGAGGACAACAGATACCCTTTGGAAAGTTAACAGTCCAATTACAAAAACATTAAATCAATGGGTTAATATTGGTGTTGTATGGGGTAAAAGTGCACAAATGATAAAAGTAAGTATTTGATTAAATTAGACCATCGTAAACTTAGTTTCCATAACGTAGCAAGAACCAACTCACCGAAATGAAATCAATTAGTTTTTATCCATCCAAAGTTATGATATTGCACATATTCCTTTAGATTGTTGTGTATTTTTATTATTGAAAGTTTAGTCATATAAAGTAGTGAACCCCATAACTACTAATTATTCTGATTGAAATGATTAATGAATAAACAATCAGTCAACAGAATTTAGCTAAAATTAACTAATTGAGTGAAAGTAAGTGGGTAAGTGAATATAAGATGATCCAATATGTTAAATCATTTCGTTACAGTTATGTTTAATATGACAAAAAGAGACTTATTACATTTGTTCTGTTTAGAATGAATTCATTTTATATCTAACATTGTTCTAACAGAAATCAGTATAATTTTTGCATACACTCCTACAAAACTGATGTTATTTATTGTCTTTTGAAATCCTCCATAAATATGAAATGCTTAAAAGCATTCTGAATTTAGTAATTTTAGTGAGTTTTAGAATTTTCTACAAATTGGCGTGATTTGAGAATGATAATTGTGAATGAGTTTTGATTAATATGCATCAACATATTTCGAAAGAATGAACTTCAACCTTCTAGGTCTAAATAAGATTAAAATACTTTTTGAATTACATAATTAAATCCATGCTCAGCATTCTTCTACTTCAGTGAATGTTAGAGACTTTATTCAGTGTTTCGTCTACTAAAAATATTACTTTTCATTATGGGCTTGTAAAGCTGAGAGTGGTCTTAAAATCTCAGAGACATTTGGCTATGAAGTGTAGTTTACAATGAAAACGTGATAACTTTAATCATATTTCTACAAATCACCCGGTTAACTTTACTATCTGTAAAAATAGTAAATTTTGTTTGAACTTACAGAATTTAAATCAAATTTTTTCAAACAACTCTGAAAAGTTTTGGAAGCCTTAAGACCTAGTGGAATAGGACTTCTTAGTTAAACATTGTTTTGATTGCTAGATTTCAGTAACTTTTGTCCCCGAAATTTGTAACTGAATCAAGTTTCAATGCAACAGAAGTGTATGGTATTACTGAAAATAAGATACACTACCAGACAAAAATCATATTTCATCACATGTGAAAATTATATTTGAAATAATCTCAGCAACTGAAATTTAAAATAATTCTAACGTTTCGACCAGCAAACATATTTGGACTTCTCCAGGGTAACAATCATAACCAAAGTTATCAAAGAAATAATAATGATAATAAATATTTCTCTGATGATTTTGATTGTTACCCTGAACAAGTCCAGACATGTTTGCTGGACGAAACGTTAGAATTATTTTAAATTTCAGTTGCTGAGATTATTTCAAATATAAATTTTACATATAATGTCTTCTCTATACTCGGCGCCCAATTTTTGTCAAACTATTCGTTCTAATATTAACGAATATTCGTATAAAAACCATATTTATTTAAAGAAGTGATTACTCTTCAAAAGGAAGTAATTTTATGGCTCCATATACCATAGGACCATAAAGTTCTTTAGTTAAGTCATTAGGACAGAATGTAATAATATAAACTCTAGTGATACAATTTGAAAACTTGGAGTAAAAATTGTAAACAACAAATAACTATTTAATTTATCAAGCTCATATGCATTCATCCAATAATTAGATCCAAGGTCAACAGGATTTCAATACACTGATTTGATAAAATGACATTTCCCTATTGAATCACAATCTAGTTGGTCTGTCGTACGTATAGTAGTAATAAAATGACGCCAGATGACCGATAGGTGCAACCAAATTCTATGGATTTATTATTAGCATACTTCTTGGAAAATATTCTATTAATAATGGCAGATTTAACCACAAAATCAACTAATTCACTATATAATCTTAAAAATTATTAGATTTATCTTATTCTAACGAATATCGTACAGTAGTAGTATAGTGTAAAATAAACACGAACTGTTCATCGTTGATATTATAATTTCACATCAATTAACATTAACAGCAAAACTTACTCATTCACCATGAAAATAAGGGTTGTAAGTATACAAATTGTCATATCGAGATGTAATGCCATGGGACAAAAAATAATTATTGTTATCTGAACACTGATCTGAGTATAAATTTAGAGATTAACACTGTTTTTTGACATTGAACATTATCAAATACATTCTAAGAAATAATGGACAGTGGCTAGCAGTGGAATCCAGGATGCGCGTTTCGTCCTATTTGGGACTCGTCAGCCGGATGTACTTGCATCTCAGAGTTGATGGTCACCACCTTGGAAAACCTGGAAGCACTGGACGCCGTTTCATCCTATTGTGGGACTCCTTAGAAGTGCGCATCCACGATTTCGCCTCACAGGATCTAACTTCAACTGACTTATGATCTCAGCCATTAAAATTACTATAATATCCACAAAACCCCTTCCAATACAAATATTTAATTATTGAGAAACATTATTCAGTGTTTATTTGGTGATTTTCAGACAACAATTAATTAGTACCTTTCGATTTTGACCTCTTTTTTTCTAAAATGTTTGTATACTGACTGTAATCACTTTTATTCTTAATTTGGCTCGTATTCCATCCTGTTCTAAGTTGATGAGGAGGATATATTCATTGGTTTTATATTTAGTGGGTGTGCATGTATTTAGAATTTGATAGAAACATAAATAGTAGGTAGTTCATCTTAAATAAGATGAATTAGAAATCTAGAATTTATGTATGAAACAATAAATAATTTTGTCAAATGCAATATGTAACATCCTTGTGTTAAACTTAGTGTCTTTAATTCAGTTTTATAGTAATCATAATATTTTGTTATGAATTGTTTATTATAAGAAATAATTTATTAGAAGAATGATACTTTTTTTCTACCTCAGCTGGTGATAAATGGTAAGATAGTTTCTGCGAAAAATAATTATCAAGGCGTTCAATATTTGGGTAGTAATTCAACACCAACATCAATTTGGGTCGGTTGTAATAGAGGATTAGATGGAGAGAAAATCATCTCCTCTGTTAATCCAGGAATTAGAGTATTGGCCTATCCAATTAAATGAATTGTTTGGCGGAGGCCTGGGAAAGTTGAGTATCTATTGCAATAATGAAAATTATTGTTCTGGAGAAATAATGTTCAATGTAATTTTCATTCTAAATTGTTATGATAGCTTTTAATGTAAAATAATATCATAGTGTGGTATATGAATCAGTTGACTAGTTTCATGGCTCCTCGATTCTGAACTTCGTATATTTTTAAAAGAGAAGATATACATGAAATATTCAGCTCATTCTAAATTCATTTACTGACATTTAACAAAAATAGAATTCAACAGAACTGTTTCTCAAAGATTTAATCAAAATGCAATTACTATTCCCAATGAGACATTAAAAATACAAGTCGAGTGAAAAAATACTTCTTTTCAATTAAAACACAAAAAAAAATTACAGAAACTGAATAACCAAAAAGGTGTCAATAATAAGATAGAGAATGAACTGACCCGAACCTTAAAAAAGCTCAGAGATCAACAGATGATTCCAAAAGACGTATACGAAACAATTAAGCCGATAGATGCACATTTACTTAGGTTTTTAATAAATTTGTTCATACAATTGTGTTTTAATATAATGGGAATTTTTCAGCAATTAAAATCTTTTCAATTAGTTCCTAGTCAGGGATCTACATGAATACATATATTATACAATTAGGTACAAAATCGATACCAAATAGACGGTAGTGAGTCAGTTTAACAAAATAATAATGAGTTAGTAACACAACGTTTGAAGAACTAAATTATGGAGAAAATCCCTAATTACTTAATTATCATAGTTATTTACATAAGAGTAAGAGTAGAGAATTGAGTTTGGATATAAATATGTTTTGTGATATCTAAAATTAATAATAAATAACTAATAAAATAAGTGCATTGAAGGTTAGGTAGTAAGATTATTAAACAGATTACGTAGGAATATGATGATAAATTAGGATGTTAGCAAAAGTTTGAAAGAGGAGAATTTTCGGAAACGTTATAGTAGCTAAAATGAATTTCAAGGTAAATTCAAAAGCTGTATAAACGTTTGCTGTGTACAGAGGTTCGCTTCATTGTTATGTATTCCAATGGCTTCCGCTGTATATGAGCCAGATTTCGAAACCATAAGTTACGTTGAAGGGAATTCTATAGATAATTTTGGAAGCTGAATTTTAATCAACATGACCAGTAAAAACTCAATGCACTAAGATAGATCATTTTATCATTTTCTTTCATCCTTCAGTCAACTATGAGTATTGAGGTTTAGAAATACCATGATACATCTGTCTACTTGTGCAAGCAATATAACTAACTCTTCAAGAGTATCTGGAATGATAAACATACATATAAAGTGAGAAACTAGGCTATTTATCTTTATTTCGTGAAATCATTATTGGCTGGATGAATAAAGTATAGCATAATATTGCTGCATTGAATGTACATTGTATAGCTTTTCGTTTATATGGAATTACTATTTCACTACTTATATCACCCTTGGACTGTAATTTTAGGGATAAAGACTTTTTGGTACTGTCGTTCATTTTACTCTGAGTTTACTTACAGATATATGTTTCGTGAGGAACTTTGATGGGTATGATAAAACCCAACGATTATGTATACTTATGTACTAGTAACCAGTTGTAACTCAGTAGCGTACTCCATTCACTTTATTTGATTCTGAAAAAAACCAATTCCATGAGTATCTGATATTCTCTATCAATGAAGCCCATGATGTAAATTTCAATAACTACTATATTTCATGTTACAGCAAGTGGACAAATTTATTTCAGCGAAATTTCACCATCTAATCTTTCTATGTGTTTTAAGTTCAAACATTCGTAACTACAACAGGATTGATCGTTCTCTTCATATCATTTGTGTATTTTTTTATATAGTTTATTCTTCATACATTTTTATCTGTTTTACAGAGCATTATTTATTAACAGAAAGAGTTGCAGAACCATTAGTTCCTCAACCAACTAAAACCACAAATTATGCAGACTACACAAATGAAGTTGAAGAGCTTACACCAGCTGAGGAAATTAGTGAAACTTTAAATCCAATTTATTTAATGGCAGATTATTACAATCCTTTATTGGTTTTACCATTAAATTATACAAAACACGATATTGAATTGGTAGCTGATCGTTCTAAACTGAAAACTGCTTATAAGTTAACATCAGTTAGAAGTTGTTTTGAAGTTAGTAACATGATATCATATCAGTTATAAATGATCGACTTATATTAAAATAACAGTAGACCCATTGCTGATACAATAAAATAATATGTAATGAACAAAATTCCAGCCAATTATGCAGAGATATGAGCTAAACAGACATTACAAAACAGTGCAACTACTAAGTAAATTTCATTTCATTTTAGCGGTGACAATGTTATATGTAACACTGTTTGTCTGTGTAATGCTCATCTGGCTTGTGCTTCGCATTAGGGTCCTGAGTTCGACTACGTATAGTGTGAACATAAAAACTGGTGATACAGATTTATTTGACTCCGGAAATAAACTAAAAAATAGAACAATAAATAGACCATGTTACAAATATTTTAAGAAAATAAACTCTATATTTCATTCACACACTGTGTATGATGAAGTCATTATTTGGTATATCAGTAATCATACGTCAAATATTTATAAAAGACTTTAAAAAAACAGTTCTCATTAGGTAATAAAAAGGTTAAAAGGTAACAATTTAGTGAATAATGATAATCGGATAGTTAAGAATAATCCTTAATATCCAGTAGTACTTTTCATAGATACCATGTTCATTTAGTTTTTTCAAAGATGTTGGTAAAAGACAAACTAGTACTTGTGACATATTTTGATATCATACACTACTTTATAAGTTTTGAAATGAATATCATTATTTATGTCGATTATTCTTTAATAACTCATTATATGGAGTTCCAGTGTTGAAAGTTAAAAGTAATCAGTAGAAAGACCTGGTTAATCGACAGTGATCATTAAGATGTTTCAATTCCATTAATTACTTATGGCCACAGAATTTACAAATGAATTTAAAAGGGTTTCAACGAAGTTTCTCTCGTCTATAGTTTTAGCATTTAGCTACAATTCTAAATATTAGATTTATTTTTGAGGTAATTAAACATTATGTTTTTATAAGAACAAAATAAACTGTTTGTATAATCACTAATGATTTATGAACACTCATTCACATGATACATGAAAAATAAAGTGAATGTACCCAATTCAGTGCTACAATTATTATCAGTTTGTCAACTCGTGTTTCATATAACCAAAGTTTGATTGAATACACACTCATCACAAAACTCGGCAAATTATACAGAAAACTTAATTTAGAAATAAATTATTAACCTACTTCAAACTCAACCCACATGGATTATTCACATGCAAAATAATGATTTACATAATTCTATAGTTCCAAGTGTATATTAATTTCCTTGTAAAGAAGTGGCATTTAGTTATGAATTCAAATAATTAAATTGTCTAACTCATTTTGTTTTAATATATTGTTCAAGCCTTTAAGATGAAGGGAGGCGGGACATTCTGCAGAACTCATCAATAAAACGTGCCTTGAACTTTACGGAAGCTAGTAGAAGGTTGGAACTTATATTTTAAATTTCTGTAATACTTAGTAGTTCTATCAGATCAATAAAAGTAGCCCCTATTTCCAGAGTTGAATGATATTAGTTCGATTTCCAGAAGAGCATAAGAAGATAAAATAAAGAGAAGTCAATATCTTCCATTGATTGAATTAAACCATACAAATCTAATATTACATTTTCTTGATATAATAGTTTTTGTCCAGATGTCACTTAAGTCTAAGTGCTTCATTACTGACAAATGTATTCTCTTGTATTGAACGTTTTATAGATTATAGTGTTTATTTTAATTTAATAATGATCAATTACTTACTATTCTCCCTTGTTCTTAATTTTTGTCACTTTTAGATGAAACTCTTTAATGTGAAAACTTGTCCCGGTAATATAAGTCTTTGCACTCGAGGTTTATCTATGGGAGTATGGTTAAACATACCGGATATTTTAGATACTACTGTTGGTATACTAGATATTTTAGAATTAGTCAATGGTATCACTGTGTCAGTTTATAACAATTATATCAATATTTTCGGTAAGTAAAAAATGTTCATATACAGTTTTATCTAATATCATTTCTGAGTTATTGTAGACAGTGACTTGTTATTAGGTAGCTCTAGAATAGTTGATAACTGACAGATCAAACTTCACTAATATAATTCTCATTAGATTATCAATACATATGTACTTTGGTTGATATTTGTTTTGGTATATTGGATAATAAATGGACCTGATTAAAAGGGATATATTTTTCGTAGATGATGATTTGTTTGAAATACGGTCGAATAGTTTATAGGCAAGAGTAACATTATTTAAAAGAAATTAAAATCTAGTAAGAGGAGAAGTCAATGTTATAAGCAGATGAAATAAACATATCAGGTTGAAGCCGTTAACATTATCCGGTGGCTGAATATGTATCAAAAACTTTATAACATCTAAATATATATGTATCAGACTGCTGAAAGTAATCTGATGCTATATTTGTCCAAATAAATTTGACTTTAGGGAGACTTCGAAATGAACAATTTTGATGGGTTTTCCTTTAGGTTTTAAAATGAGTAATTGATGAACTCGCTTTATGACAGCAAATTATGATTATGATAATATGGAGCATGTCTATCATTTATGATAAGCTAACTAACGGATCAAATGATTCAAACAAACTCAAAAGTTTTAGTGTAAGAAATATTACTCACCTAATATTTGAACTACACAATTCTTATAGTTTATGATAGAAATAAGAGGTTAGATAACTTTATGAACTGTTACTATTCGTAAGAGATATTCTTAGAAGGTAGTCATTTAAATTCACCAACAAGGAATATGAACCATTTTATCATCATCAAAGTTACATCAATATATGCAGTCATCTTTTGTTTTGTGTTGTTGTTTATTTGAGAAGGATATACTTGAGTTTTTTCAACCATCTGGAAAACAAACAAACTTTTTTATAACAACACAATTCCAATTTTGAAGTAAGTAAAACAACTTATTTTGTTTTTCACCTTTTTTTCCAGTTAACTCAAATATGGGTCTAGTTGTTTTTCGTGTATACAGTATGATACCGAGAGATATCTGGTTCAATATTGGTATAAGTTTATCAAACTTTATAGATCCTACTGCATCTGTATACTTTAATGGTATTTCAATGCCTGTTGAACAAGTTATGCCACCAACAGGAACTCCACTGAAAAGAACTGATCGTTGTTTAAATGGGCTAATTCTGGGCAGCTCAAAAATTGAACAAAGTGCTACTGGCATCGCTTACAATGATTTTATTCTATGGTATAGATGGTTGTATTCGTTTGAGTCACATCATTTTGTGGGTTATACAAGTAAGTTAAATAACACAGTATCTGTTAAATTAGTGTAATTAAAATAAGTAATATTCTATTTCCGGTTAATTTCTTCCTTTGAGTATTATATCGAGCATTTTAAAACTAAAAAGCATTATCTTGAAGTTTTTTCGCTCGATGTCAGTTCAACTGTTTACCGCATGCTAGAAAAACGTTTGAAGAGACAATAAGTTTTGAGAATAGTTTGATCCGGTTATAGATGATAATGTATCATAAGAGATCTAAGGTAGATCAATGTTTCTTCAGTAAATGTTCTATCTTAATTTAATGTTTATAACACATTTCAGCAACACGTCTTTGTTGCCATACTAAGCACAAATTCACTGAAAAAAAGATTAAAAATATATATCAAAGAATGAAATTTACATATAGGCTGGTTAATACCTCTCTGATTTTATCAGTGACATTTAAATGATGCATACAATGGCGCATTACATAGGCTGTTTTTCTGAACATAATAAAATTATCAATTGATTCCTGTAAGTATAGCAAAGGAATAAGCTGATTCTAAACAACCATCAAACGATTAGTTCTTTTCAATTCTAATGATATTAATGTTATACTTTAGGAAAATTGTAGTTTGTATAAATTATGGCCTATCGCTGAAATAGTGTGAGAGACTGAGTATTACTGATAAAGCTAATTATTTTTTTTGTAAATTGAAGAACGAAGTAATTTTAAAAAACGAGAGTAACTAAGCCTCATAAAGAACTATCTCATATAAATTGAATAAAGACAAAACATTTGACTTAAAATATTAAGATAAATAGAAAGCTGATATAATAAATTACTTACCAGTCAATCAAAGTGAAACCTAACTATCATGTTCACTTATTGCCTACCAATATAAGATTTAAAAAATTAGTTTTATTATAAACATTATAATTACTTTCTTTTAACTGGTTATTGTTATATATTTTATATTGAAGAAGTATTCATTTGTATTTCTTTTACTTAAAGGAGCACAACAAGCTAATCTTCATAATGCCAGCTATTATTGGACACCTGATCCTTATATATTTTATGATAGTAATGCACAAATACAAGTCAGACAGAAATATAAATATTTACAACCAGAAAATGATTATTCATTAACAGGTATACCTGGTTATTCATTGGCATCAATTTATCGTCCAAAATTTGTCAAATTTCATTTCAGTCATGATGATTATGAGAATAAATCAAAAGTACCTGTACTTGAAATGAAACCACAACATTATATGATGTTAGGTAAGGTGATGCTTTATTTAATTAAAAAAGAAACCCATTGAGTTAATGAATAAAAAAAGGGGATTTAATGAAGAAAACTTTCTTTTCCTATAAATTTAAATTATAGGACAGCGTAAGTCATCTGAGGTGATATCAACGAATTTAATATGGACTGGGAAATGTTTAATAGAGCCAAGTCTATCTGCTTGTAGTGCACGTGGATTCTCAATGTCAATATGGATAAAATTATTATCTGTTAGCCAAGATCGCATAAGATTTTATTTAAATTCTGGTGACGGAGGAACAAGTTTATCAACAATGAGTTATTGTCGAGGAATATCAATATATATTGACACATCATTGATTGGTGTTTCAATTTCACAGTTATCATCGACATGGCAATTAGTACTGGATTCGAGTAGTTATAAAATTGGTAAGTTATTTTTGTATGAAATGTAATTATTTTCATCCAAATATTTCTAATCCTAGAAAGCATTTATTTTAGATAAGAAGTTTATCGAATATTTCAAGAAACTTTTATTATTATTATCGAGAGCTCTATTCAATATTGTACTATTTAGTACAATATATAAAATTCTCAGTACAAAGTATTTCAACAAGTTTATTGATCGATTCTTACGAAAAACAATGAGTGATCACCAGTTAGATGTTAGCAGTTCAGGAATAAATATGTGAATAATGTTATTGCTTTTAAATGTATATTGCCAACTATCACGACGTCTCTGATTATACTTTTTGTAACTTGTAAAGCGAATGGTCTTAAATGTTTAATAAACGTGCCCAAATAGGTTATGCGATTGACAGATATAATGTGCTGGAAAAAACAGATAACTTGTTGAAATATCTAGATGGAAGGAACAGGTAGCCCAGATATTCAAGTAGGCTGCAAAAACATGTGATGAAGATGATATGGTATAAGCTGTGTTTAACCGAATCATAAGATGATTTTTGTATCTACCATGTATTTGTGTTTAATTTTTTAGTTTTAGTAAAGAAGAATCTGTTTTACTTTTTTTCCGTGAATACGAATGTAACTTTATTCTAACACTAATGGAACGAAATGAAAAACTACTAATTTAGCTTGTTTTTAAAAATCAAACATGAACAAGGATAGATTTGAGTTGAGCCGAAATTCGAAGAGAAAGTAAACAAGATTACTAAGCTAAGAGAAGATGCATTTATCTTGAAATATGACAAGTGAATTTTATATCAGGATAGATATGTAGAAAGTATTTTTCCTGAATAAGCAACAATATTCAAATGAAGAAACCTGATGGATTTTATACATTTATTCTAGTGAGATGCGGTGACCTGTAGAACTCATTAACATGGTACATGATAGATTTCACAAATGGCGTTGGATGATAAGCAAAGTATAAGGAAAATTCACCAAAGTGAATAGTTTAATTCTGACTAATCAGTGTGAAGTTATCTTACCTATCACAAAAGGTATACATTTTATAATTAAGCCCTGAGAAGATCTTGGGTCCTCATAACTAAGTAGTCGTTAACAAGAATGAAATAGTAGATGACTTTTCAGTTGGCATCAGTAATTCATAAAAAAGTACATAAAGTATTTTCTCGTCAGTACCTGAGTACATTATGTCAAATATTGATGGTGTATTCTGACCAGTCAATTAGATGATCGACATTTAAGAGCTGAACTAATTTCATCATTTCAGGCTTTTAAAAATTGTTGGTCTAATAAAAAGTATGCAAAGTAATACATAATCACATTTACTTTGAATTCTCATCCAATAACCAGTAATATTTGTTATTTTTACAGGACAATGGATTAACATTGGTATATTATGGCGAGGAGATGTCGGGTTAACTCTGTTACTCGATGGTGTCAATTATGGAAGTATACTTTCAAACGGTCAGAAAACTTACAAACCACGTGAATCACCACCATATCTTGTGCTTGGACGTTATGATACAGATAATCAAGCTGCATGGTTGTCACCTTCTGATGCAGATTATGCAGCTAAACAAAACAGAGGAAATGAACCTCAATGGGAAATGAGTCACTATGTATTAGGTGATATAGTCTATTTCAATAGATTTTTAAGTCATAAAGAATATAATGAACAGATTGGTTTGTTAGGAAATCCATATCTACGTAATATACTTGGTAATGTTTGGTTTGGTAGAAATATGATTAGTCCACCTATATCTGAAATTATGGAAGCTGTCTCGAGAAACATTTCAAAACCTGGACCGATTCTTAATGGAGTGTCAAGTTCAGTACTACTTTTACGAAATCCTGAGGCAGTACAGCTATCAGCGGGTGGTTCTCTACGTCTAGGCACATTTAGAGTAAACGGATGCCCATATAATTTACAAAACTGTCAACAGGTATATAAATGATCAGTTCTTCATTCAGTTATATTATTATTTAAATTGCTAAGTTGTCGTTATCTTAATGTAAATGAGATTTTAAATGAATAAAGTTTGTGTCGTAAGTAAACTTTACGAATACGAGTCTTTTGTTTCTAAACAATGCCTACATAATTTTAGTCTACTGAGTAAAAATCTTGATGCCCGAAATAAATAGCAATCAATAAATGCATCATGCACTAGAGGATAACTCAATACTACTCTTTATTAGATAATGATATGACTCATGTTTGTAGGCTTATTACAATGTTTTCCAAATACTCTCTAGAAACTTTCTGTTTAGACTGTTAGAACCATTTTAGTTAATTTTTTTAAGAATATTAATGTTTAATCCACATGAATGTCAATTTTCTTTGTATACTTTAAGTTATCCTTCAATATTAGTAAATTTAGAATATGGTATCAAAATTGTCAATACATTTCATAACAGTTTATGAACTCATAGACATAGACGTCATATGTTGAGCAAAATGAGCTTCATCTTTCAGTTGATAACTGTTTGTAAAAGTTAAACATTAACATTGTTGACTGCTGGTTCAATGGTCTAGAGGTTAAGGGTTTGTGTGCGAGACCAAAGGTCCTGAATTCGAATCCCGTAAGCAGAATCATGTATGTGCAATACTGAGGAGTCCCATACTAGGATGAAACGGCCCTTCAATTTTTTCAGGTTTTTCATGGTGGCCTAGCTTTAACTGACTCATGAATTCAACTATTAAATTACTTTAATATCCACAAAACCCCTTTCTGTTGGTAAAATGTTTAACTTATTCAGCAAATAATTCATCAATCACGTTAAGTTTGTTTATTGAAATTCAATTTGTATTTAATTCAGTGACAGATAATTAGATACCTTACAGTCAATTGTTTTTTTATCAACTAATAAATGAATAAACTAAATTGATGAAGTCTGATAATCACTAAGAAATAAGCATTGTCATATGTTTCACAAACTAGCTGAGCATTAGTGTTTTTGCATATAACAGTGAGTAAGACCTGTTCTATTCCCTTAATTTTATTGACTTGCAGATAATATGAATCACAGTTTTTTCATCACTGCAATTTCAACTATCTGATATTAAATAAAATGTACTGGTTTACTGAGTCATTTAGAATAGTAGGGATATTTCAACCTGGTTGTCATAGCAAATATAACCTCATTTATGTATACATTTACATATTTCATTAAGTAACAATAACAATAAATTTAAATATATGAATACTAATTAATGACAAGTTAATACTTTTCTATAAATAATATACAAAATTTATTATATTTCATTTTATATAACATTTAGAGTTTAAGTATAGGTGGTTGGTATCGTTTTGGAGGACATTTTACAAAACCAACTGATAATCAAATTGAACCAATAATATTATTTAGTGGATCTGGTGGAGATTATGGTTTAACTATATCATATAATGGTGCATTATTAGGTGGTTGGTTACAATATAATATAATCCAAAATAATACAATAATACAAAATTATTGGTTATGTATTGCTGATAATTTACAAATTGGTTTAAATCAAAAAAATATGCAATGGATTCATTTTAGTTTAATTTGGGGTATGAATAATAATAATAATAATGAATACGTTTTACAATTATTAATTAATGGATTAATTATCATAGAATGTAATAAAAATATACAAATCAATAATTTATTATATCAACAATGGATTAATCAAGCAATTGAAAAATCTAAAAACTTATTTAATGAAACTAATACAAATAAACAATCATTTTTATTAATTAGCTCTAAGACATTAGATCCAATTCAAGAGATAACATTTTCAATTGCTTTATTAATATTACAACCAAAATATTTAACATTAACTAGTTTAATGGATTTAATTGGTATGGAATATTATGAAATAATAGAATTATTATATTCAACATTTTATTGGCAAATGTCTGGTTTATTATATCAATTAACATCAAATCGTATAAAAATAATTAATTCATATTATGGACGTGATCAATATGATAATCCAAATGGTGCATTATGTACTGAAGGTAATGATTTATCATATATTATATTGAATGGTGATAAAATTGGATTAAATGGTGAAATGACTAATTTATATGAATCATGTTTATATGATCCATCTATATGTAAACGTTATGGTTTAAGTTTTCGATTTATATTACTTGAATTACCAAATGAATTAGATGGAATTCATGAAATTCTACGTACAACACCAATAAATAGTATAATAAAAACTGTTGGATTACGTATGTATTTATCATCAGATCAAAATGAATTTATTGTTGAAATACGTAGTCAATATTTAACTTACAAATATTCAATAAAACGTAATTTTATACTACAACCTGGTAAATGGATAAATATGCAAATATTTTATTATCAAGATCATCCATTAACAATACGTGTTGATGGTAATACAAACACATCTATTGAAAATGGAACAATTATTAATGAAGTAAATGTTAAGTTATCAACTGATGCAAGATTAAAACAAAATTTAATGATTGGACGAGGTTTAAAAATGTGTATAAGCTCAATGACATCATATGATATGTCAAGTGAAAATAATTTTGACTTATTAGCCAGCACAGCTAATTCACAAATATGTTATACAAATATGGATATATTTGAACCATTACAAGGATCAATAAATGATTATAAAAATCATACAAATTCTGCATCTAGATTAGAAAATTTTATTAGACCATTATCATTTCCATCGGCATCTTGTATTCAATATCCAGATATATGTAGCAAGAACGGTATGACTATGTCAATGTGGATAATGATTAATGGATTTGTCAATGAATATGGAGAAAATCTTGATGTGAAGAACAATGAAAGCGTTAGTTAACTGTTTAATTGTATGTTTTGTAATGATAAAATGTAGATATATGTCTATCTATGGAAGAAAGCCTGGAGAGTTGTTGTTGATCTTCTAATTTCACTTATCAGATGGTTTGATGTTCATATAGAATCCAGTCTTAGTAAAATTACAAAGAAATGAACTAGATGTTTGTATAGCCTTTTACTGAATATTCTTAAAGCTTAAATTTCGCCTTCTCAAATATAATTAACTTATAATTGAAAAACTCCAACATTACTAAAAGAATTTTCTCCCATTATATGAAATGTACTTGCATGGATATCTAAGCTATTCGTTTAGATTATTCCTCGAAAAATACATATTTTTTTATCATTCTTATTCAACTAACTGCGCCTTCGGTATCTGCCTTATCTATTTTTAATACTGCAGATAAGTGGATTGGATATGAATAGTTTATTATTTCATTTCATTTTGTGTACCGTGATGTTTGTAGCATGGAAAACTTTCATTTTGTCTTTTAATCTGATAGCTACTGAGAAAACATTCAAGCTCTATCTTATGCAGTAATTCTCACTATAACTCAACTGAGGTATCACATCAAAAGTTATCAGTAAACATTCGCTTAGATATTATTTAGTTTTAATTATATACTAACTGAATTTGATGAATATGATGATCAAGTATAGTGATTGAAGTATGTTACATTGTCTGGAGACTTAGTCATTTAATGTCTTAACATGTCAGATAAGTTAACTAAAGAGTAGGCAAATCAAAAGTTTCATATTTGATTGCACTTTCGTGCTGTTAGTTATATCGTGAAGGGTGGGAATAAAGCGAGATTATATCCAAACAGTTTGAGTAACAGTATTTTTTTGTTAGTCAGTCATACTTTTAAATGCAATGTAATGCTAAATAGCATTTATTAAACGCACACACCTTATAGTAAATACTTTATTTGCAAAACGTCAATCAATTGTCTCAGACTTGATTGTTCCTTCATTTCCACACCAATCTCTCTCTGTTCTCGTTCTCTTCGATATTCTTAACCTTCTGCCGCCAAACATTTCACTTTCGGCTGATGATAAATACTACTTATATCTGTCGACATCAGTAGCATCCACCACAATAGTTGTTCCTTTTTTCCAATAACATATTGGTTGAGGTAACCAAGTTAATTTTCACGATGAAACAAATAGTCCAAAATCATCAGTTAGAACTTTTGTCAATGATTTTAAGTTTATTGATGTTAATGTCACTTTTCGAAAAACAAACGATCAAAATTTTACTGTTTTTGTTTGTGGGGTGGGGGATGTGATTTTGTGTATATGCACTGGGTGAAATTTTAGCTGACTGCAATAATTTTGTCTACTGGTTCACCCAATAATTCTGGAATTTTAATTCAAGTCAGCGGTCAATTAGAAAATGAGGAATTGAAACTGTCATTAAAAACTAGTATTTACACTCGAAATTATTTATGGCTAGTTGATTCAAACAATGCATTGGAATTAGGTCAATGGACAAATATAGCATTCAGTTGGTTTAGTCAACCAGAAGATAACAGTGGTTCACTTGGAATTTATATAAATGGTTTACTTAAACAATCTTCAACAATACCGACTTCTGTGTTGAATATGAACACAGAGTTAAATGATACTTCTAAAGTATTTATTGGTTCTGCATATTACAACTGGAACAAAAATACAACTGATTCAGTCAATAAAGTATTTGCCACCGGAGGCATTGCAAATTTAGGTAAGTTCCTCTTTTAATATAAATTAGTGACTACTGAAAAATAATAAATACATGATAAGTTATTTATTTTGTTTATTTTTGACGTGTAGATGATATCACAAGTCTCAAACATAACTGTTTACTGAATTTTTAAAAACTTTTATGTTTATGAAGGTACTACTAATTTTTAATTTGCATAACTATGTATAGCTTCGTGAGGGAATTCTCGGAGTTCTAGTGAGAAGCAGTGACCAGTGGAGCTAATCCATGTCGGGTAGAGACAGATATCTACTTCAGTACAATGGAAGTTGGTCGCGCAATTTCGTGGATTGGTTGATGTTAGATACTATCACCATTGGATGCCGGCTCAGTGGTCCAGTAGGTTAAGCGTTCGCCCGCGAGACCGAAGGCCCTGGGTTCGAATCCCGCGAGCGGGATCGTGGATGCGCACTGCTGAGGAGCCCCACAATAGGACGAAACGGCCGTCCAAAGCTTCCAGGTTACAAAGGTGGTGGTCTAACATCAATCGGTTCATGATCTCAATCAAAATAACAAAGTGTTAAGATGAGATTAAATTAGAATGAAATCAACTTTAACCATTGTAGGCAGAATATTCAAAGTCTGCTTTAAGTATAACTTATAAATTCATAGATAACAAATGATTCTGGAAAATTTATGATGAAAATGTGAGTAGTTCTGGACAGGTTATTTTGATCAAAAGATATTGATCGTTAGTTGAGTTTCACATGTACCAATTGAATAATTAAATTGCAACTCTTTTTACTTTCTTCGATGATAAACAATTATTAATACTACAATTCATTATTATTGCCATATGTAACATAATTTACACTAATAAGACTACTTTAAAAATTTCTGTACTAGCTTACTTGATGACTTTTTAATTTCGATTACTTACAAAAGATCATCCACTAAAAAACTTCGATACCTTTGTAAACATTTACAGTCCTTACTGAGCAAGATAAAAAATAATTACTGCTTGTGAATGAGATCATAAATTGATTGGTGTTAGACTACCGTTGAAAACCTGGAAGGACTGAACGGCCGATTCGTCCTATTATAGAACCCCTCAGCGGTGTGCATCCATGATCCCACATGCGAGACTGGAACCCAGGACCTTCGGTCTCGCGGGCGAAGGCTTAATTTCTAGATCAACGAGCTGGCGTCAAACGGTGTTAATGTCTAGCTTAAACCAAACCACGAAAGTTAACCAGTGGAGCAAGTCCATGTCAGGTAGAGACAGGTATCTACTTCAGTACAATGGAAGATAGTCGCGCAATTTCGTGGATTGATTCACAATTAAAAATGGAATGTCTTTTAAACTGTGATATTATTGTAGCACACTGATTGATGATAGTTTAAACCAATTAACTAAAAATATCTTATTTTAAACACACTTTTGCAAACGTTTTGTTATATTTCTTGATTAAATGAAATTTAATTAAATACTCTAAGTCAATCTTTTTTTCAGCATATTGGGAAAGCAAAAATGTTATCAGTTGTTCAAAGCCTAGAAAAACAAAAAAATTCTTACTTGAAGATTGTGAAAGTGATAATGACATACCAGAAACAGTTACATGCGTTATGATGCAAGGTTGTAGACAAGTTGACGGTCTCGTGTGTATGGATGAAACACTAGTGAGTATTTTTCGTTAATTTTAAGTTTATTCCCTTTCTCTCTATTTAAATTAAAGAAAACTTATTTCACTGAGTGATGAAATTTCAAATTCTAGAGGGTGCAATAGTTCCATAAAGTATGAAGTTATACCTTATTGATAAATGTCGATTAGTGCGAAAACTAGATCGAAAAGAGTTTACTGACAAATTCCTCTACCTATAAAAGTATTAAAAATAATACTTGTTAAGAATCAAGATAATCTAGGAAATCATTGGTAACCAAGGTGAAATAAACATCTTTGTTGTAGCGTGTGACTGTAACCACATACGGGAGTGACCGTATGGATACAGGTCTTTTGGGTTGTAAAGCACTTCAACGTCTTCTGAATTGATATCGAACAGACTTATACTATTAACATAAGTTACTTTCTAATGTAATACCGTCAACATTCAATGTCACTGATAAGTTACTATTCCACTTCCATCATGGTTGACTCCATAGAACTACCTTTTGTAGTCCGATAATATTAAGAACTCTTCTGAATATATTACATACCCTATTATTAAATGATTGATTTTTTTAAAATTTGTCCAGTTACATTTATTCAGTTATCGGCTATGTAAATACATGGTACGATGAAAAAATATATTAGAATGAACAGAAATATCAGTTATTCTGTACATCTTAACAGCTGGTCATCCAATATTTTCATTAGTGTTGGCACAACAACGAAACAATTACCTATATTTAAAGTGATATAGAGAGTAGCTTTTACAGCTGAAGTATTAACTAGTTAGAACGAAAAAATAAGCATATTTTGTATGGTCAGAAATGTATATGTTGTATAAGGGTTTACTCCACTTTCAGAGAATTTAAAACTATTTAAATCCACTAGCAAATGAGTGAAACAATAATTTATGGACAAACTAATCAGGTATAAGATAACAGGTCTCAAATTTTGACGCGAAATTCATTTATCTATTTGGTTAAATAAAGTTTTGGCATTATAGCTTATGTCAATTCGTGATGAAAACTCTAAATCAACTGTAAATCATAATTCTAATTTCTCACACTGGTTTATAACCCTCATTTGGTCCTAATTGTTAGGTGAACACTCTCAAGGTCACTTTGGTGTCGCTTAAAGGTCGTCCATAAATTATAGTTTCATCGCAAATGAAATAACACATAGATAAATAAAAAAAATGACTAACATATATATGAAAAGAATTCACTAGGATCTAATAGTCAATAAACCTGTATCTTAACATCTCAACTTAATATAATACGTATATAATGATTATACGAGTTATAGTAAACACAGATAGATAGTTTATTTGAGTTAAGAATTTCCAAAGTATGTAAACAGAATTCAGAAAAACGGTACTTCTATTTATTTATTTTAAAAAAAACATCAAAAGTTCTAGAAAAAAACACCGAAATGATTTATTTATTTTTTCCTCTCTATATTATTTCCAGTCAAATCTTATTCGAATGGCAAATCAAGCAAATAAACTTATTTATCCATCAGATTTTATGAAAGTTTTACAAATTAGTATGGACCTTTTAAAGATGCATAACCCTTAAGAAAATATTTCCAATAATAATAATGATCAAAACAATGATATATCATTTGCTTTAAATGTTTTATCATCTACAATGAATATAATACACTCATGGTTTAAAACAATTGAAACATTTACAAATACTATAGATCAATCATTAATTAATGAAATTAATTCAATAAAACAAAATATTCATTACATAATAATCAATTTAATAAATCAATTATTATCATCACAGTTTAAACCTATATGGTTACAATTATTACAAGATAACATCATTAAATATAATAAATTATTACCTGAATTAAACAGAATATTTTTATTTATTTCAAATATCAATGAATATAGTCAATTAAATTCATGTTATACATTGAGAAAATTAAGAAATATGAATGTAGCTAGTTATTCATTAAGTTTTCAATTGAATAATACTAATACTAATAATAATGATGATAATAATTGTTTATTGGATAATAAGAATCCTTTAATGTTAAATATATCCCATTTAACAAATTCAGGCAATGAAATTTATCATTCTCAATCTAAAATTAAAACTAATCTTAATGATGATCAACAGAATATACAACTGAATGAAGCTTTGACAATTTTAACTATTTTAAGTAATAATAATGAAAACTTGAAGATTGCTGATATTCCACTAGATAAATTTAGTACTAATACACAATATCAACAGAATTATACTGCTAATGAACAGAAAACGTTATATAAGAATAATACTTTACAATCGAATACACCATTTTTATTTTTTATTGCAAGTCCATTGTATTCTGTTGAATTTTATGCAGAAAATCAGTTATATAAGATACTAAGCAATAGTGTTAATAGTAATATGACAATTCAACTCAATTATACAGTACCATTATTACATTTGAATAAATATCAAAGTGTTTATTATTATGAAACAACTTGGCGTATGAAATGGATGGCATATAACTCTGAAAAATATAATGAAGGAGTATTAGCCAATCAAATACGTTGTGTATATTGGGATGATCATTTAGATATAAATGGTGCATGGAATACAGATGGTTGTCAAATTATTAAATCTACTAAAACACATGTGCAATGTTCATGTAATCATTTAAGTCTATACGCTGTAGCAATGGAATCAGAAGATGCACCTTATAGAAGTGTGCCAATATGGAAAGCATGGGGTACAAAATCTGAATCAGAATGTACCATGTTGATGAATATTATTATTTTTGGAGGGAATGGTCTATCGTTGACATGTTCAATAATATTTCTTCTTACTTTGATCACTGTATGGAAGAAGGCTAGTATACCAGATATCTGTTTGACACGTATGGGTTTATGTTTGTGTCAAATAGGATTTCATGCTACTTTATTGATTGAACCATTATTGAACCAATATCAGATACCATGTCAAGCTATTGGTGTATCATTAAATCTATTTGCTATACTTGTATCAAGTTGGCTTTCAAACGAAGCAATAAGTCTATTCAAAAGTTTTGTATTAGGTCAATTAAAATTAACTTATTGTTGGACATGGATTACAGGTATTGTTATACCAGTTTCATTAGTTTTAATACCGGCAGTTATATCGAAGTTAAACTTACACGGTGGTGATTTACTATGTTTACCAGCAAATGAATCATTAGAATTTTGAATTATGTTCGGTTCAATGTTTGCTTATACAATTATTAATATAGTTGTATGTTTTACGTTAACATGCAATCTAGAAACACCAGCATTTTTACCGCCAAAGATACTTGATAGACTATTGTAAGTTTATAATAATCAACATTTATTTTTATGATACATTAATTTATAGGATAAACTATAGCCATTTTCTTAATGAAGTATAGTAGATGGTTTGTATAATTATTATTATATCAGTGAAGAATAATATAATAAATAATCCTTTCAGTTTTTTTACTTTTAACATAAGTAAAGTACATTAATTAAGCATAGTAAAAGCTTACAGTACTTTCATAAATTCGGATTAAACTAATTACATCCATTTCATTTTAAACAGTCGAATTCTAAGGCGACAAGTGTGTATGACGAAACTGTACGATTCAAAATTAGAAAAATATAGTTAAGAAAAGACTTCTGTGTATTGAAATGAACCATTATAAATTGTCACATAAAATGTAGGTAGTATTTTGAGAAAAAGTACTCACAGACAAGATGTAATTTCATTAGAATTCTCCATTAAAAGAGTTGGTGTGTTTTAATTCATAAACACTATAGCTTTACTTACCATAGACTTAATTGAAATTTCCGAAAAAGGAGGAAATTCATCAACGTTATCCTAATGAATAATGAGGTTTAAGCATATAATTTCCATGGAACAAACTACTTAACTCTGAAATCAGGAATCCCTCAACAGCTATTTTGTCATAGCTTCGACTAATTTTGAAGTGTAAATACATACGCAGTTGTGTACTGAATGGATCCAGTGAACCGATTGGTCAATAATTGTAACTTTAGTCAGAACCTTCACAACCAAATTTTATTGTTACTATTACATATTTGCTTTGTAAATAATATGACAGACTCCTTGTTCTGAATATGCTCTCTATACTATACGAAAATCAAGAATGTAATATAACACGGACAAATGAATGAAATTTCTCTAATACGAAATTGTTGATCTAATCTTTTACGAAAGTGTACAGGTAGATATCACTCAGTAGCTCGTCAAAACATTGGTGCTATAAAAGTATAACTGTATGTCAATAAATAGAAAGTGATCAAAACTATGTGAAGCTGAAGATATAACACTTATGTTCCTATCTTCAATAACAAATATATTAATAATAAAATACAGTTTTAAAACTTATTTTTCATATTACCTCTTACAGCTACTTGGTTTCGGAGGTAAACTTTTTAAGCGTTAATCCACAAGTCTATAATCTAAACAAGAAATGTTCGTGTTTGATAGCGTATCAGATAGAATTTCTTTTTAATACAATATTTAGTGTCAATGATCTTGTCTAGGAAAATAATAAACACTTCGCAGTCAACCACTCAATGATCCATATCACTAACAAATCTATTGTGACAATATTCTTAGATACATACAAACAATTAATTTTCCATGGTTCATGATTAAATCTTAATACAATTTATTTGTTTATAAAATTTTCTATTCTCAATTAGCACACGTGTGAAGAAACTGAATTCATTATTATTGTATTATCTCATAACTTGGAGTCTACTTTTTGTTGTAATACAAGTGACAATACCGTATGTAGTTTTTATTGCATTCGCCCTTGTCTCTTTACAGGTGAGTTTAGTAAAACAAGAAGAAACATTTGTCCATATTTACATACTTTTATTATGTTCTTAAAGGATTTTGTTGATTAGTAATGTTTATAGGACCAACTAGGCAGTATGTTGATGAAACAATTTTATAGCTGTTATATTATTTAATAAGTTCCATTAAAAGTATGGAAGTATAAATTTAAAAGTAAGCTAATAAAAATGTCTCAATGGAGAAACGATATACTTATGTAATAGTTGACCACTTTTGTAAAAATGAACCAATGAATTTACGCAATTTTTCTTCAATTCTACTGAGAGAGGATCACTGACAACAGTGAACAATCACCTAATATAATGAGCTAATTGAAGTTAGAAATAAAAAACCGGTAAACCCCACCCAACAGGTTCGATGAATCGTCAATATCCAATTCTTGAGGAGTATTTAGTGATAAAGCAGTTGACCAACGCTCTCTGGCTTCCAGTAGTCGAACTATGTTCAGTCAGTGAATGAAACTACGAATTCACTGGTTGCAGAGAACATCCTATCCTATCTATGCATCAAAAAGTCTTGAAACGTAAAGCAACTGTTGTCATACACACTTTATATATGTTATTAACTAAACAACGTTAATAATATTTGAATCACCTGTAAATTAGTTGACTACACTTTAAATTATCTTTTTATTTGAATTAAGGGAACATGGAGTTTTGTTATTTATGGTTTAGAAGACAGAGAATTGTTTAAAGCATGTCTAGGAAATACGCAAAACCAACAACAAAGTGACAATATTTTAGAAACTAATAAACTGTCAACAGATCCTGTCATAAAGAAAATGGAAAAAGATGAATTACACATAACTAATCAGTCTACTCATCAAGATAACAGTACTGCTGTGAATCACCAAGATCAAGATACTAAAAAAGATGCACGAATTCTTCAAAGAAACAAAAGCAATAAGAAGGATATTTAATAAATGTCAGTTCTAATTGACCCCATATATATGTTATCAATTAATTGAATACAAAGAAAATAATTAAATACTGTAAAGTATCACTTCTTTTTTGGATTAACTACTTGTATCACTATTTGATGTTGTTAAAAACTTCATGTCCGTAAATAGTGATTTATCCAGAATGGGATTGTTTTTATTACTTATTTTCAGAAGAATATAAAACCTATTTAATAAATTGTAATTCATGATTAAATCTAATCTTATTCTCTTAGTTGATTTAATGAAAGAAACCATTGAAATTTCACTAACTCACTGATCAAACTAAACTAAAGCGATATGAATTTACGAGTTGTTTTTAATAGGTTCTTTAATTAATCTGAAGGGTTGCACAGTTTAGTGAGATCTTTCTAATATTTTGTTAGCCTATTAACTACAAATATTACAAATGATTAATATGCTGCTTTTTATATGATTGTCAGCATGTCCAATTAAAGTTTGATAAACTAACTAAATATCAATCCCATTCCAAATAATTAAAAAAAAATTTTCGGAGTATGTAAGCACTAAGCATTGGATTTTTAGTATGAAAATGGAATCGTATTAATTTATACTGTCATTATGCCTATGGAGATTAAAATACGACTGTATAAATTTACTTTTACAGCAAACAATGCAAAAATGAACTTTATCATAAACACTATACTTAGGAAAAAGCTCGAAACGACATTCTATTCTATAGGGCTATGAGTGGTGTTACTTAAATGGTATTCTGATATTAGTGAAAAACATAACTCGTTTGAAGAGTAATTAGTTAAATGTATTATAGTAAGGTCTAGAAATGGTTAAAGCCCTAAATAAATTAACTTATGTTATCAGGGACTAATATCCGAATGTATTTCAAACTGTAGCAGTCTTTTAGGACTGTTAAGTTGTTTAAAAGAAAAGCAATTTCGCTTAGTATCTTTTCAGGATTACTGCCAGTCCCGGATTAGTAACTTCATCCCAAGAGTTGTAAGAACAAACTTATATCGATATAATCTTGTCAGAATGCACATATTCCAACAATGGAATGAAAAAATCAACTCTTAATACCAACAACAGTATAATACAAATACCTAAAAATCACAGTTTCTATACATGTTATAATAAGTAAAATGCTCCATACTTGAATTACTAGCACTCTTCTACAATTAAAATAACTAGATGGTTAGCATAATTTGATTACATCCACTTCATAAAAAAGCTTGTAGCAACTTATCTTTCATTTTTATTTTCAACAATTTGGAGAAAATTAATTTCATAATTAAAATTTTCAGCTGAGTAACTTCGATGTACTATTCAAGATACACCAAGTAACTTATGTAGCGTACGTATATTGCACTATCCTGCCTGTGGCGCTTCTAAGGTTACTTTCGGTCCCAGTTTATTAAACTTTACAAACTCTAGCATCTATAACTAATCACACAACGAATCATATCGATAAAATAATCAACGTCTAGTTACACTTTACATTTTAATTAATAGACATAAATCCATCCTTAATTATCAATCCGACCTTATTTATCAAAGAACATTAATTTAACTTGACGTATTTCGATAACTAAAACAAATATGACCGAGTAACATAGACTGAAAATTCTTGCTTAGCAGTCATTATTAACAATGAAGTATTTACATTACAATAAAAAAAACAACGAATTGTTTCAAAACAAGAAAATAAATAATGCAGAATATTAAATAACATTACTACAATTAAATAAAATAATATTTTTTCATATTGCTATATTTATTCACATTTGTATGAGACAAATCCTCGTAAATTATATTTGCATTAGAAGCTTCATTCCATAAACTTTTCAAGCTGGTGATGTATGGTTCTGAGTATTACTCGTTATTCTTGGTACAGGAACTTGAAATAATTCACAAAGTTGAGTACGAATTGGTCTGACTACTTCAATATCACCTTCCCTGATGAATTTAGAAAGCAGTAGGAAATTTTTCTTAGTCGAAAGAAAAACACAATCGTTAAACCAAAGTTATCAATAAAAGTAGTGACAAAGACAAACTATTATATTTATGAGGAAAAATTAGAATGTATGTGTATATGAACATGGTACAAACCACAGGCCCAAACAGGAAACAAAACGAAAAGTAACTAAATATTTAGGAATTACAGAGAGCAATAAGTGGATAGATTTGTACAAATGTAGCGAATGTCAATACAAAAGTCTTCTAACCATAAATTTGTGACATCTCGCTGACAGCACTTAGAGAATATGAGCTTCGTTAAATAACTGAAAATAGATATGTGATTATATGAATTACTAACATGTTTCAACACAATATTTTCTAAATTGGGCCAAATTTGTCAAAGGTGGCAAATTGTGATGGGTGGTGAATCGTCCAACACACATCACTCATGCACCTGAGCCAGTGAAGGTTAACACAATTATCTAAAAATTAATCGTCATTGTCTAAAGCCATGCATACTAAGTTGAAATTAACGGGTTTTTCCCAGGTACAAGCATACACGTTGATTTTAAACAAGACAAATATACAAATATCAACATAAATCCAACCATATCATTTCCACAAGAAAATAAATAATAAGAAAAATGTGTATATAAACATAAAAACTCACCAGATGGTTTCAGTAAGTATGGATGATACTTGATCTAATAACTCAGATGAACATAACTCATAAACCAGTAAACCTTCATACAATTCTGTTGCGGCTGTCTTACGAATCTGAATTTTTCAACGAAAGGAAGTAAATTCAAAATAAGTATTATTATACAAAATACTGAACAGAGAGTGTATGTGTCCGAAAAGAGATTATTAACAATAAGATGAAATCAACTTTGAAAACATCACAGTGTAATTTGTCTTCATTTAACATTTCTGCTACCAGCTTTAACGTTGTGCTTGTGGGATAATCAGCACAGAAAAAAGAAAAAGACAATTCAGGCAAGAAAATGATTTTTTTAACGATATAATCTACTTAAGATGTACAATAGTATTTAGAGTTAATTAGAGCAAATAGCAGTTTACAAAATAGTGTGTTATGTCATTGAATTGTTAGAGCTCTTATTATATACATATTTTTAGTTTGTATTCATTTACAGCCAGTTCTTTTAACTATATAAATGATTGTGAAAAAAGGTTCTAGAAAATGAACTTGATCAAAATTTCCAAGATGTTCTTTGATTACAATGTTGATTGATATGTGTAAACATACGGTAAGCCAGGCAAAACATACATTCAAAGTAACTTGCTTTGTACAACCTATACAATCTGTTCCATAAGACCAAATTAACTTATGCATATTAATGTGAACCAGAGCAAGAGCTTGGTTCTTATGCAACTCTAAATCAAAAGTTAACTAGAGAAAGCAATGTGAAGTTCAACCAAATAAAATGTGTTTCTCAAAGATCTTGAAAGTTTATTTTTAAGCATATCTGCTAAATTTGTTTTTTGGAATGAACATTGATGTAGAGGTACTTTGGTACTATTGAAAATCTCTCAAGTAGCCGTCTTGGCTTCAGATCTTCATCGATGAACCTAGGTAGTTGGCTTTTTCTGTTAAATATTTCCCGAGGTTTTCGATTCTGATGTCAAATGCGTTATTCGCACAGTCACTCAATCAGCTACAACGTAGGACCAGGCACATATGTGCATCGTTTCAAGTTGCCATACCTCATTAGTACAACAAGAACAACACCGGATTCATAGTAGTGGTGGTCTAGATTTCCAGGGGTTGAACTTCTACCAGGAGGTTCACTTGTTGACTTAGAATATGCAGATGACATAGTTTTATTTGGTGAAGACGCTGACAAAATGCAGAGTCTTCTGACCACTCTAAGCAACAATGCAAGCATGTTCGGAATGCGATTCTCTCCCTCGAAATGCAAAATGTTGCTTCAGGATTGGGTTACATCGACACCCGAACTAGTGATAGGGAGTGAAGTAGTTGAGTGTGTCGACCGCTTCACTTATCTTGGAAGTCTCATCAACCCTTGTGGTCTGGTGTGTGACGAAATCTCAGCACGGATACAGAAGGCTCGACTAGTTTTTGCCAACTTGCGTCATTTATGGCGTAGGCGAGATATCCGTCTACCAACCAAATGACGTGTCTACTGCGCAGCAGTTCGTTCCGTCCTACTTTATGGCAGTGAAACATGGCCGCTAAGAGTAGAGGATATTCGTAGGTTACTAGTATTTGATCATAGGTGTCTTCGAAACATTGCTCGTATATCATGGGACCATCGAGTAAGTAACACAGTTGTTAGGAAACGGGTACTAGGTAAGGATGGCAAATCAATTGATGAAGTAGTGAAACTTCATCAGTTGAGATGGCTGGGACACGTGTTACGTATGCCCAAATACTAACTGCCTCGACGTGCTATGTTCAGTGGTATAGGAGTAGGTTGGAAGAAAGCTAGGGGCGGCCAGACCAAAACATGGCACAAGTTCATGAAGTCACTGACAAGTGGACTGAGTCATGTTGGTAGGTGTAGACTACCTGGTTGGGGACCGTGAGATGAAAGCAACCGATGGTTAGAGACCCTGAATGACATGGCTCAAAATCGTTTGCAATGGCGCAGGTGCATCCACTCTTTGTGTTCTCCCAAATTCTAATCTTCTGAATTCTTCATGTCCCTTTTTTTTTCTCTTCCCAAATTTATTTCACTGGATTATACTCCTTGAATAACGTCTTCAAACCCTAATTTTTCTGATTACAGCTTATAATCTTACTACATCTAGCACAACTGGATTTCAATCGACCACTGCATCTCTGTGCTAATGTGGTGTGGCAACTCGAACTGATGTACGTACGTACGAAGTTCTACGTTGGGACTGACTGACTAACTGGTAATATATAAAAGAAAGATTTCTTATAGGGACATAGTACAGGAAGAAAGAATTAGTTCATAGAAAGAAAGATATGAAGCGATTTTAATCTCATAGTTTAATGGACGACAAAGAGTGTAAACATCGATGCCATTGTGTACAAGTTCATGTAATTTTCTCTGATTGAAAGTAAACTTAGTTTATCCTTCGAATTAATGAGATCAAATATGTTCAGTCTCTTTGACTACCATGATGATGATGCAACATGTGACATTATAAACTACTATTTGTAAACATTGACTATAAATATGACCATACAGCTTGGGTTAACAATATCGTGGGAAAGTTTCTTCGCCAAACTGTCTTTCATTTTTCTTTATAGTTAGTTCAAAAGAAAATCAAAGTTTTCTGCACATTTATGCTTGTTTCGAAAAGCTTTATATAGGCAAAGAATAACTAACATATAACTACATTCCATCTGATTATTTGAATAAATACATACGATGGGATTAATTGATAAAACACTTGGTTAAATTTAAAAGTAGTAACCATTTAAATAATGACATGTGAATTCAAAAATAAATTTACAGATACACTACCATTAATTAAACAGTACTTCATGTCAAACCTACAATTTGGTAACGAGATCCCAACATGACCATCATTAACGATAGAGATCGCTTTCGAACAGGCCCAGTGAATTGTAACATCCCACCAAATCTACATATATATAGGTAAAAATAAATAGATAAATGTCCTGATATGTAAAATCAATACTACATTGTATGAGAAATTCAAGAACAGTGTTATTTTATTGTGTGAACCATTACATTTAAAGTCGCACACGCAACAACAAATGAAGGAGAAGACGACCAGTGTAGCAGCAGCCTCAGCAGCAGTAAGTCTCAACATACACAAAGGGAAAAGCAAGATTCTCCGATACAACACAACATGCAACAATCCAATCACACTTGACGGAGAAGATTTGGAAGATGTAAAAACCTTCACATATCTGGGCAGAATCATTGATGAACACGGTGGATCTTATGCAGACGTGAAGGCACGAATCAGCAAAGCAAGAGCAGCATATTTATAAATGAAGAACATCTGGAACTCAAAACAACTGTCAACCAACACCAAGATCAGAATTTTCAATGCAAATGTCAAGACAGTTCAACTGTATGGGGAGGAAACCTGGAGAACTACGAAAGCCATCATCCAGAAGATACAAGTGTTTATTAACAGTTGCCTACGCAAAATACCTCGGATCTGTCGGCCAGACACTATCAGCAACAACCTACTGTGGGAGAGAACAAACCAGATCCCAGCGGAGGAAGATATTAGGAAGAAGCGCTGGAAGTGGATAGGACACATGTTGAGGAAAGCAACCAACTGTGTCACAAGAAAAGCCCTCACTTGCAATACTCAAGGCTAAAGAACACACTACGTCGAGAAATGGAGACAGACATGCGAAGAATGAACAGCGATTGGATAGAACTAGAAAGGAAGGCCCATGACAGAGTAGGTTGGAGAATGCTGGTCGACGGCCTATGCTCCATTAGGAGTAACAGGCGAAAGTAAGTAGGTAAGTAAGTAATTAATGATATAAAACTCCCGAATACTAGAACATAAAGTACATGATATTAGCACACTGGTGGAGTTATGCCGTTATTGTCGATTTCCGCGTAAGACCACTTGGTCTATAAATAACACACACAAACAAACAAACAAACAACTTTATCTGTGTTGACTGACAATAAACTAATTTTGCAGGCAAATATCACTATATGCATAAAATATTGACTAAATTCCCTTAATTATTATCTTCAATAATAATAAAAATCTCATAAAACTTATAACATCAAAATGTATCGGGTTTTATTAACAAGATAAATATCAAATGCTAAAAACTGTACTTAATCAGTTTAGTGCTGTTTTAAAGCACCTTTTTAATGTCCTTTTTAAGCAGTTAAACACTAATGACTTACACATCGATAGCAGCTTTAATACGTTGTACATCTTTATTTAGTTTGGTTTCATTCCATACACTTTCCGTTAATTGTAAAAGAATTGGACTGTACGGACAGGATAACAAAAAAAAATATATATATAAATCCCATTTATCAACACGTAGTGTTGAGATGGTGGAGAAGATTTGTAGCCCAGGTGGATGAAAAACAAGTGGTGTTCATAATAATTCGAAAATGATAGTAATACTACTACTGATAACAATAATAGTGATGGAAGTAACAAGAACAACACTTGAAATATCTTAATGAGCAGAAATTAGAAATTCTGACGGTTCCTAGCATACTGTAAACCCCTTCTTCAGAGTTAATAAAAAAAATCAAATTTCTCTAATAATTTACATTGAAGAAGTGGCTTACAATAAATCATGAACCCTTAGAATTTCTACTTTTTACTCATTGAGATATCAAAAATACATTATTATTCTATGATTAACATTTGACCCAATGCTTAATTTATTTGAAATTACCAACTCAAACCTTTGGTGCTTATACTTACAATGCGGATGATAAACGTAATGGGTCAAAGGTAATAAAATGACACGAGATAAGTTCAAAACTTATTGACTATCCATTAATTTGGCATGCAGATTAGTTTATGATTTCAGATAAATGATACGCATAATGTAATTATAACCAATAAAGCAAACACAAACTAATAATTTTATTTGTTGTAATGATGATAAAATAATGAAAACAGTTTCCAAAATAATTTCAACATTAACATTACAGTATATAGATAATATGTATATGTTATAAAAGTACTATTTAACAGTATATTTAGTGAATGTATTCTACATTAAGGAAGTGGTATAGCCTTGAATATACCAATAGTATGTTATTGCAATTTTCAATATATATTCATATACTTATCTCATTTCCAATTCCCTTACACCAATGCATATGTAATGTCTTAAGAAAATAAACCATTTTCGCTCAAGAAAGTATGCGTTTCAGATAATATATTAGTAGAGTTCTTCGAACCTCGCTTAGTAATAATGAAGTATAAGTTGGGTAATATTTCGAAGAACTTCATAGATTTTAAGTTGTTTTTTTTTTCATTATGAAGTGATGTCAAACCAATAAACACCATGAATCACTGGACGGGTGTCTTTACTTTGTCTGGACAACAGTGACCATTACCATAGAATACAAGACCAAAGGTTATAAAGGCTTTAATGTTTTCTGTGAAACCTCAAAGTTCTGTACTCGACACCGTAAAATCTTCGGTAATCGTTGATGAGGAGTCACGAATTATGGAAAAGTAGTTGACCAGTAATCCATAGTCATTTGTGGCTTTTCTGATATTATTTTATTATGAAAATAATTTTCAGTAACGAAGTATCGAATGCACAATAAATCATAAAGGATATGTTTACTTGGAAATGAAAGAATGAATAATTAAATAATACTATATATATAACAATGACAAACTTACCTGTTTGGATCAACTGTTGAGTTGACAATCGGATCATTCAGTAAAAAGTCCAAAAATTTAAAAAGAGGAATAACAATCCTATGAACAAAATAGTAAATAAAACCATTCAAATATTATTGTATTGTAAGACTGCTCACAATTCAAAAAACTGAAAACATATCAGTACTCCGGGTATAACCACAGCATCGCTCACTAGGTGATCACAACATACAACAAGAATGCATTGTAGGCATTTATAATCAAATACCAGTAACCCACGAATATCAATTATATTCAAAAGCCACGTTTTACAATCATTAAAAAAACCGCTGCACAGTGCACTCGTTTATTAGTTGGTAAACGGACATTTCGCCTACGCCACAAGTGAGGCAAGTTAGACAAAGCCAAGCGAATTCATACACTAAGTCACCAACGATGAATCCACCATCTCGGTTTTGTGGGATATCGTATGCATGAAGCCCACATACCTAAACCAAAGTGAACGGAATGCAGTTTCAACCTAATAGTGAATATTTGGGAATACAAATACTGGATCATTAGCACGTTGTAATAATTATTGAGTTTTCGAAAGTGATTAGAAAATATCACTAGAACCACTATTATCTACACATAGCAATTACATCTTAGAAAAGTAAACTAAGCAAACTAATTACCTCTCTTCTTGTCGAAACGATTGCAGAATCTGTTCAACAATCTTTAACACTTCCACAATAAACAGCTGATCTGATTCATGATCAAGAAAATATGCACTTAAAGCTGAAGTGCTACACCGAATCTACATGATAAAAGAAAACAAACAAACAGCAGATGTGATTTTAAAAAAGTGTATAAAAAATAAAATGAGAAGTGTGACAGGTTTTTACTGATATAATAAATCTGTTTAACATTTTTTGTACAAATTTGTTGTTAAATGTAAAAAATCATACTTGATTAATAGTAATCAAACACACAATAAATATGATATAAAGTTTTAGAACACTGAAAAATGGAGACATTGAGTCAATTCAACAGTTTATACAACTGAACACAGAATACCGACAATAATCACACGTACGAAAACTGATGTGACAGAGAAGAATCAAGCTTTACAGTCGAGTGTTTATCCTACTTATGATTAAGTGATCAATGAAATTTTAATCTCCAAAGTCCCGATCGAAGCTGCTACCTTGACGCGGTGGTCGGGCTTGCCTATTGTGATGACCCAACCGAGCTATATTGGCTGGAACATATGTTCCTGCAGGTTCTACCATGCCAGGCAGGTCGATTGGAGAACGGTAAGACTAAAAGCAGCAACTCAAGGTCTGAGGGTGAAGTCGTACTGCTGACTGTAGAGAGGTGTGACAGCAGTAAGGTGTTTCCCTCGGACAACCAGCATGACAGCGATGCTGCCTTCCCACAAGGAGGGGTGGGGTTAGAAAAGGTCGACCCTAAAAATGCACACCTCACCTTACCTCACGGATTTCCGTCTCCGGCGGTAAGGCCCTTTGAAGAACGGAGCTAACACGTCAAAAACCTTCCACAAAAAGGCCGTGCGCGACCGGCCTCAAGCAGTTGTCCCTTGGGCTCTGTGGTCACGCTCCCAGGTCTTCAAGACCAACACTAATCCAATTTCCTTTTCAGGTCCCTCAAGAAATACTCTTCCACGGTGTGGGCAGCCGGGAAGTGACATCAGCCCTCATACCCGTAACAGCACAAGAGACCAAGGTGGTCACATTCAAATCCTTCCTACACCTCCTAATACCTCTCTTATCCTCCCGACTAACCCTCCTCACGTCTCTTTATCACCTCGCACCGCTAGGGCAAACGATTCGAGTACGTGGAACGCCATTCCTGGTCTCCTGAAACCACGCTCTAAACTACACGTAGGAGCTTTTAACGTACGAACACTTTGCCAAATAGGACAGCAGGCTTCCTTAGCTAGGACTTTAGAATCTCGCGCCATCGATGTGTGTTGCGTCTCCGAAACGCGCATACAGGATCCAAGTAGCGTCATTCATTTGACCTCACCATGCCAAAATAAAGAACCGACTCGATTTACGCTTCGTGTATCTGGAAGCCCTGATTCTGCTTTCCGTGGCCTCGCCGGCGTAGGTATAGCATTGAGTCCTAGGGCAGAACTAGCTCTCTTAGAGTGGATCCCAGTAAACAGTCGTTTGTGCGCTGTCCGACTGAACGGAACAGTAAGAATCCGGAAAGATAGGGACACTCGTCGTTGCCTCTTCGTCGTCTCTGCCTATTCTCCCACTGACTGCAGCTCAGATGATGTAAAAGATGAGTTTTACAGAAAGCTTTCGGACCTTCTCCGAAAAGCTAAGCGCTCGGATGTAGTAATAGTGGCCGGTGACTTTAATGCTCAAGTAGGTAAACTAAGCGATAAGGAAAGACACCTAGGTGGATCTATGGTGTCGTGGCTCAAAGAACAGATAATGGCGACCGTCTGTTGCAGCTATGCTCAGATAACCGCCTGTTCCTTGCAAATACTAACTTTAAGCATAAGGAAAAACATCTATTAACATGGCGACCCCCTAATTCGTCCCAACGTTGGACCCAAATAGATCACATCGCTATCAGCCACCGATGGAGGGGCTCGATAGAAGACTGTCGCTCATTCTGGAGCACATGCCTAGATTCAGATCATGCTCTAGTGCGAGCGCGTATTTGCTTGCGTCTTACTGGACGTAGGAAAGATCCTGCAAGGAAACCTCTTAGGGCCCTACTTAATGATAGTCAAGCTAAGAGTATATTTCAGGAACAACTAGGAAAACAGTTAGGCAGCCATGTATGTGATGCCCACCCCGAGGCAGCATGGAATGATATCCGAAAAGCTGTGGAAACAGCAGTGATATCTGCTAGTAAGGTAAACCAGAAGGTTAGGGAGCAACACTGGATCTCAGCAGGATCTATCTCACTGATAAATGCTCGGAAACACATTCCACCTGGCTCTGAACATAATGAAGAGCGGAGTCAGCTTAAGCGCAAGCTGACAAGAAGTCTACGCAATGATCGTGAACAGTGGTGGGTAGCGAAAGCAAGAGAGATGGAAAAGGCAGCGGCAATAGGTAATAGCAGACAATTGTTTAGACTCGTTAAGGAAACCGGAATTAGGAACCCGACCGTTAGCGAAACAATCTCAGAGAAAGATGGACATATTATTCATTCTCAATCCAGGAGATTGGATCGATGGGCAGAACACTTTAGGGATCAGTTTAACTGGCCTTCAGCCACACTTCGGTTTCCCACGATCTCCAGTCAACCTGAATGGCAAGTTAATGTAAGTCCTCCGTCCCTTTACGAAGTTGAAAAAGCCATAGGAAATCTAAAGCGAGGGAGAGCAGCAGGCCCTGACAGATTTACTCCTGAGATTTTTAAGGATGGTGGTCCAGTATTAGCAATGAGATTAACCGAGGTCTTAGGTAGAATTTGGGAACTGGACGTAATCCCATCTGACTGGTCTCAATCATTGATTGTGCCAGTCTATAAGAAAGGACAAAAGTCCTCTTGTGACAATCACAGAGGAATCAGTTTGACTAATATAGTGTCTAAAATATTAGCCTCAATAATACTTCGACGCATCTTGGTGCAATGATTATGATGATCAGAGATCAAAGACTGAGCAATGTGACTCAGAATCATTAGTAATGGCCGAGATCTCTTAATAAACCTCATAAATTTTGTATTCCATGAATTCATGTTTTCTTGATCTATATTGTATGCTCAATCGTTTCTGATGTCATTATTAATGTGTAAGGTCATCATACGTTGCATATGACTTGTTGAATGACATTGGTGAAAGGCCATTACAAGGAGGTAGTCGAACAGAAATATTTCATTGCTCTTTATGTTTGTTTTCTAAAAGCTTATATCAGGAAGTCTACTCTTAAAAAAGTGATTGTTCTACTGAAATGAATTAATATATAAAAACTTACATGTCTGATGTAATAAGCTCTTTGTATTGATTATTTACAAGAAACTCAATATATGAGTCCAAACATTTCATTCCAACTTCGCGAACACTATGTATGTATGCAAATAAAGAGAAAATATTAATCAGTGTATACTGTAACGATATTAACGATACTGTGAAAATGTCGAGTGAAAATAAATATCACTACATTATCTTTGTAAAGAAACAAGATAAACTTGAAAACAGATGGCCGTAGATAATATGTTTTAGTCATCAAAGAGTACAACTCGTTATAATAACTGAATCATAAACTTCAAATAACTATATATAGGATGATTGAGAAATAGTTTCTAGATTAAGGTACTTACGCATTACCTAACCATTGGTCAGTACGTGTTAACTTTACTCAAGTTATTTGTATGTCCCTATGTGCTCTGGTAAGGATGAGGGTGGGGAGAGTCCGTTCTCCCTCTCCAAATGCTCTCACATGGTCACGAATATACAGCCACTCACAGGGGAATCCTGCTCACTGCCTTATCGTGGTCGAGGTGTTGTTTACGAAGTTGAAAGGACAAAGAAGAATGTCCAGCACTTTACCCTGATTGGCAGATATGGAGGACTCATCTAGAAGAGTTAGTTGGAAAACCCTAATTCCAAACCAATGGTGCACATTGGCTTCAGGATCCTGAAGGAACAAATGGCCTGTCAATCTATTGTTGGTAACCAGCAACCATAGGACTTCACCTCTTAACATTGCTCCACTGCCTTATGGCTTATACCTTTAGGTCAAAGGATCAGGTGCGAACTTTAAGAAAACCACCTGCTTCTGATTGGGGAACCGGGAAGTATTCCAGCCCTCACAAAACCCATTCGATTTGTGTGGCGCATATGTATTTGGTGCTCCCATGTACCAATGTTTATGTATTCTAACAAATATAAAAAATATTTGCATAATTATCGAAATGCATATATATCGGTACACAATTGGAAGACAAATAAATACTGAAAGTAAAGTCAATGATAAACAAGTGACCCAGGTGTACTTTAATCAGAATATTGATAATAATAATAATAATAATAATAATAATAATAATAATAATAATAATAATAATAATAATAATAATAATAATAATAATAATAATAATAATAATAATAATAATAATAATAATAATAATAATAATAATAATATTTTACGTAGTCGAGACAACAGGTTATTGTTCGCCAAACAAAACCGGTTGAAGAATCTCATGCCTTCTCACATACATGACAAAAATTATAAAAACAGTATAAACTGGTGTGAAACAGCTGTTACCTTAATTACAGCCTTCACAAAAAACAACCACAGGCCTACATTTATTGTTAGATAAAAACGAGAACAGTAAGGAAAACTTGCACTTCTATGATTATACTACTCAAGAACATGAATAGACAGTAATAAAGACGGTGGAAATACCCAGTGATCGATTTGTTGCTGCTGTTATGTGGATGTCAATTAACCATGTAAACTATTACTGGATAATTGACGTGTGCGAGAACCCATTGGCTTCGTTACAGAAATTTACTACGGTTGACGGGGAGATGTCTATAGAGTTTAAATTTTAGTAGTGATTTAACTAAAAAGAATGTGAACAGACGACAACAAAGTAAGACAACGATGCACTATAACCTCATGCTCTGAAATAAACCAGATATATTTGAAACAATAATATACGATTATAATGTTTTCTTTCACAATATATTTCAGAGAGAGAGGGGTGACAGAAACTTTCAAATAAGGCATGCAAAATTGATAAACATACTTGACTAACGAAAACTAAGGGTAATAAAACTAAAAGCTATTTGTCATGGAGCAAATGGATTCATTAATGTTTATCGATCCCTATAATTCAAATATTGTGTTATTCCTAGCACCTTTCATGGGTTGATTTTTTTAGTAATTTTTACGAAGCAAATGATTAATCGCTTGTTTACTAATATTAATGTCACTATTATTTCAGAAGATTTTGTTTATTCTATTCTGTATTGGTAATCACTGTATGGGCAGTCATATGAAGTGCGAAAGCATCAAATCAAAATGTACATGCGGTTAATTTCTTCACATTACCTTTGTAGTGAACGAGGACATAAGTGAGGACAATCGAATGTGTTTGAACACGAAATTACAGAACGTCTTAGCAAAATACATCATTTGCAAACTGTCAATTAATCATCTCAGACTTCATTGTTACTTAGCTTCCACAGCAATCATTCCCTGTTCTCCTTCTCTTTCCTCCGATATTCATAACATTCTGCCGCCAGGCATTTCACTTTCGATTCATGATACATAATACTTACATCTGTAGCACACAGCACACCTTTTGTATCCATCAAAAAATTTCTAAATATAGAACAGGTAACTTTATAACATCAAAAGCGAGTAAAAGGTAAATACTAATAAATGCTAAGAATGTATGGAGTAAATCATTTGTTGAAACATCAACAATGAACTTGAACAATATGCGTTACATAAACCCAACTGATTTATGCAGCAAAAGTTATTTTGTGTAAATTAAACTCAGTGTTAGTGGACGCATGATGAAAGTGTCATAGAATATACGAACAATTTGATCACTTACAGAGAACCTACATCCCCACGTGAATCCATTGTATAATCGGATATAGATTGGAGTAAAATATAACAAGTAGATTTCAAAAGGGTAACATTTAATTCCGAGTGATGAGCCCCAAGACTTTTTATGATCCTAGAGTATGAAAAATAGAATGAAGTGCAAAATTATATTTGACCAAATGTTTAGCACAATTAGCCCGTTATCACATGAAAATAACAATAATATACGTCAATAAAATTAACTCCAACTTTAGCTTTTCAAGGGTCACCACCAGTCCTGAGTCCTGATAAAAGAGGGTTGGGCATAGGGTCAACAACACAATTCCATAGAAAACAACCTTGCTAAACAAAAATGCTAGCCACAAAAAATTATTTACACCGTCTAAGTTCTGCCCTCCGAGTTCAAAAATCGCCATTTAGAAAAATGCCTCATAGTGAAAGCCAAGATCACGAGGCCGATGTCTCTTTTAACAACCAGAGTAACAATTAATATAGGTACATAGAATGCCCAGACAATTTACGAGACGGGGAGGACCATTTAAGTAGCTGAAGAAATCAGAAAATACAAGTTCGAGGTGCTCGGAATCAGCGAAACACATAGGATCCAAGATGGGCACAAAAGATTAGATTCAGAAGAGATATTATTGTAATCGTTAAGGAAACCGGAATTAGGAACCCGACCGTTAGCAAAACAATCTCAGAGAAAGATGGACATATTATTCATTCTCAATCCAGGAGATTGGATCGATGGGCAGAACACTTTAGGGATCAGTTTAACTGGCCTTCAGCCACACTTCGGTTTCCCACGATCTCCAGTCAACCTGAATGGCAAGTTAATGTAAGTCCTCCGTCCCTTTACGAAGTTGAAAAAGCCATAGGAAATCTAAAGCGAGGGAGAGCAGCAGGCCCTGACAGATTTACTCCTGAGATTTTTAAGGATGGTGGTCCAGTATTAGCAATGAGATTAACCGAGGTCTTAGGTAGAATTTGGGAACTGGACGTAATCCCATCTGACTGGTCTCAATCATTGATTGTGCCAGTCTATAAGAAAGGACAAAAGTCCTCTTGTGACAATCACAGAGGAATCAGTTTGACTAATATAGTGTCTAAAATATTAGCCTCAATAATACTTCGACGCCTAACTAAAGCTCGTGAAGAGCAGACTAGAGAAAACCAGGCTGGTTTTCGACCTGGACGTCGTTGTATAGATCAGATATTCACACTACGTCAGGTTCTAGAACACAGACACACATTCAGACGCCCCACAATGGTAGTATTTCTCGACCTTAAGGCGGCATTCGACTCTATTGATCGTGAGGTTCTATGGCAGTGTTTGTCACTGAAAGGAGTACCAAAGAAGTACATTAACCTTATAAAGGCTCTCTACTCGAACACAACTGGTAGAGTGAGAGCTTATGGCGAACTGTCATCAGAATTGATCACCTCAAGTGGTGTTCGTCAGGGCTGTCCACTCTCCCCATTCTCGTTCAACTTTGTCATTGACGTACTTTTAGAGATAACACTCTCCTCATCTAAATATACAGGGGTTGAACTTCTACCAGGAGGTTCACTTGTTGACTTAGAATATGCAGATGACATAGTTTTATTTGGTGAAGACGCTGACAAAATGCAGAGTCTTCTGACCACTCTAAGCAACAATGCAAGCATGTTCGGAATGCGATTCTCTCCCTCGAAATGCAAAATGTTGCTTCAGGATTGGGTTACATCGACACCCGAACTAGTGATAGGGAGTGAAGTAGTTGAGTGTGTCGACCGCTTCACTTATCTTGGAAGTCTCATCAGCCCTTGTGGTTTGGTGTGTGACGAAATCTCAGCACGGATACAGAAGGCTCGACTAGCTTTTGCCAACTTGCGTCATTTATGGCGTAGGCGAGATATCCGTCTATCAACCAAAGGACGTGTTTACTGCGCAGCAGTTCGTTCCGTCCTACTTTATGGCAGTGAAACATGGCCGCTAAGAGTAGAGGATATTCGTAGGTTACTAGTATTTGATCATAGGTGTCTTCGAAACATTGCTCGTATATCATGGGACCATCGAGTAAGTAACACAGTTGTTAGGAAACGGGTACTAGGTAAGGATGGCAAATCAATTGATGAAGTAGTGAAACTTCATCAGTTGAGATGGCTGGGACACGTGTTACGTATGCCCAAATACTAACTGCCTCGACGTGCTATGTTCAGTGGTATAGGAGTAGGTTGGAAGAAAGCTAGGGGCGGCCAGACCAAAACATGGCACAAGTTCATGAAGTCACTGACAAGTGGACTGAGTCATGTTGGTAGGTGTAGACTACCTGGTTGGGGACCGTGAGATGAAAGCAACCGATGGTTAGAGACCCTGAATGACATGGCTCAAAATCGTTTGCAATGGCGCAGGTGCATCCACTCTTTGAGTTCTCCCAAATTCTAATCTTCTGAATTCTTCATGTCCCTTTTTTTCCTCTTTCCAAATTTCTTTCACTGGATTATACTCTTTAAATAACATCTCCAAACCCTAATCTTCCCGATTACTGCTTATACTCTTATTACCTCTATCACTACGGGATTTGAATCGACAAATGCATCTCTGTGCTAATGTGGTGTGGCAACTCGAACTGATGTACGTACGTACGAAGTTCTACGTTGTTACTGACTGACTGACTGAATCTAGTCAGGAGGAGGAAAATGCTTTGCCAAAAGAAACACGAAGCACGAAATGCAGTTATAGGAATGTAATCTCATAGACCCAGGATCATTAAAGCATTCTTCAAAACAAAGAAGGAGGGAATTGCGATAGACGTTATCCAATGTTACGCACCCACCAACGATAGCAATAACGACGATAAAGATCAGTTCTACGAGAGGCTGCATTCAATCATAGCAAGGTGCCCAAGAAGGGACCTGACAATCCTGATAGGAGACCTAAATGACAAAGTCAGAATCGACGACACCGAGTATGAAGAGATCATGGGACGACATGGACTGGGTGAATGGTGACGGATTTACAAATTTATGTGCCCACAACGAAAGTTATATGTGGCATTATATTCCCACACCAAAGACATACACAAACTACATGCGTCTCACAGAATCACGCTACAGCTTTATTTATTTATTTATTTGAACACATAAATATTGGTACAAGAGAGCGCCAATATATAATGCGTCATACAAAACAATGAGAATTCGAAAAGAAAGTAAAAACAAGGTAAGGCGTGTGAAAAAAAGAGAATAATAACGAAGAGGTTGGTGTAAGGTGGTGTAGTAATAATAATAGTAATAATGAGGGGACGGAAAGGTACAATCAGAAGGAATTTTTCAGTTAAGGAAGACACAACCACTTTTTATAAAGAAAGTAAAAGGTTACAGGATCGCCACTGGCTTCTATTCTGAGCCATATCTGATAACGTCTCTAGTCACTGTGTAGCACCATCTCTCGAATCCCAACCAGGTAGTCGAGAAGGATCAACAGAAGCCAGTCCTTTACAGCTTTCCTTCATACAACGACACCATGTCATGCACTAACCACCTCTCCGCTTCTTCCAACCAGTCCCAGAGTCGACAAATAATGCACAACGTGGAATTTTATGGGACGACATTCGTAGAACATGTCCAAGCCACCGAAGTCGGTGTTTCAAGATGGTGACACCAATTGAATTATCATCTCTGTACCCGAACACACGATGCCGAATCTCTGCATTACTGACATTGTGTTGCCACTGGATGTCAGCAATCCTTCGGAGACAGCGATGATCGAACACAGAGAGTCGTCTAACATCCTCAACTCGGAGAGGCCAGGTTTCACAAGCATAGAGCAGAACTGCCCTCACCGACGCGTTGTAGATCCGACCTTTTACAGCCAAACTGACACCACGAAGGCGCCAAAGATGACCCAGATTGGCAAAAGCCACTCTGGCTTTCACCATACATGCATTGATCTCATCACTCACACCCCCACCAGAACTTATGCAGCTACCCAGACACACGAACTTCTCGACTACTTCTATCTGCTCACCATCCAGAGTGAGTACAGGATTAGCATCCTGCCAGTCTTGTAGAACTACTTTGCACTTCGAAGGTGCAAAGCACATACCATACCTACGGACACTCATTGCCAACTGATTAAGTGCGGATCGCATGCCTTGGGCATTATCGCACAGTAAGACAATATCATCCGCATACTCAAGGTCGAGAAGTCTTTCTCCAGGCAACACATCCACACCACCATTACTTACATTCATCAGAGCTGTTTCCAGAATGTCATCGATGGCAAAGTTGAAGAGGGGTGATGAGATTGGGCAACCCTGTCTAACCCCACTGCTTGAATGGAACAATGGAGAGAGGTGGTTGTATGCCCTCACTCTGCCTGAGGTGTTTGTATATAGGGTTTTTAGGATGTTAATAAACTTCTCAGGCACACCCTTCTTCAATAGACAATCCCAGAGAACAGTTCTGTCCAACGAATCGAAGGCAGCCCTGATGTCAAGAAACACTACGATTGTTGGCCTTTGATAAGTATGGCGGTGTTCTAACATTTGGCGGAGGGTGAAGATATGATCAATACATCCTCGACCAGAACGAAAACCAGCCTGCTCCTCGCGAGTCAATCTTTCTCGGGTTTTGAACAACCTACGAAGTATGACGGAAGCCAATAGCTTGGACGCAATCGGAAGTAGACTTATCCCCCGATAGTTGTTACAGGAACGACGTGAACCCTTTTTAAAGATAGGGACAACTATCGACTCATTCCATGACGTTGGTACACTCTCTAGCTCCCAAACCTTTGTAAACAACGTCGTCAGTTCCTTAGCCGGAAAGTCACCACCATCTTTAAAAAGAGCCAGAGATAAGTCATCTGGGCCAGGTGATTTGTAACACTTCAAGAGTTGGAGTTCTTTGCGGACTTCCGCCCCATTTGGTGGATCAGTGGTCACCGACCATGGAGGCCAGGACAGTCCGACCGATGTTGTCGGAGCAGCAGACCAGTTGAACTGCCCTTCGAAAAATTCTGCCCATCGTCCAAGACGTCGATGGATGTTGGTGATTGGCATCCCGTCATCCTCACAGATTGTTTCGCTCACACCAGACTTCTTGCTGCCAGTGGCTCGGATGAGTTGGAAGAGCTTCCGGCAGTTACCAGATGCAGCTGCTGCTTCCAGTTCATTAGCACGCTCCGACCACCAGGCTTCTCGGTCCTTGCGCAAGCTTTGCCCGATTTCATTACGTAACATCCCTCGTTTGTGGTCAAACTCACGGTCACCCGGAGTAGACTGACGGGCTTCAATGAGTTGTAAGGAGCCTGAAGAAACCCAGTGCTTATAAGCGGGACGTTTCGCGAACCCACAACTGACTGTACCCGCCATTTTCATAGCGTCATGCAATTGCAACCAATGCTCATCTATACTTTTCGGTGGAGTGGTAGCTAGCCTAGCAGCTAGCTCTGTTCGATACTTACTAGCAACAGAAGTTGCAACCAGCTTGCTGACATCAATCCTTTGGTGACGATCATTTCGTTGTCCACTGAAAAGTAAGGTAAGATTGGCGCAGACCAAGACATGGTCAGAGTCCAGATAGGTACTCCGAAAGGAGCGGCTGTCTTGTACACAACCATGCCAGCGGTAGCTGATCGCGATCTGATCAATCTGAGTCCAGGCTTGGGATGCAGAAGGAGGACGCCAGGTGGCATATCGGCGATGACTGTGCCGAAAGTTAGTGCTAGCCAGAAACAGGTTTTGGTCTGTGCACAGTTGCAGTAGACGGTCCCCGTTATCTGTCCTGCGACCAACAAGTCCCCATCGGCCACCTAAACGACTCTCTTCTGTGCCTAGACGCCCGACCTGAGCATTCAAGTCTCCGGCTACTACTACAATATCTGTCGAACGCACTTTCTGGAGAAGAACAGATAACTGGTGGTAAAACTCATCCTTGATTGCATCCGGGCTGCAATCTGTCGGGGCATAGGCGGAGATGACGAAAAAACATCGTTTCTCGCGCCGATTTCTTCTCACTTTGATGGAACTTTCTAATCTAACAGCACATAACCGACTGTTAATGGGGATCCAATCGATTAGTGCTGCCTCAGCTCCAGCGCTTAGTGCGACACCAACGCCAGCAAGATCAGACGAAGATGCCACAGGGTTACCGGATAAGCGCAGATGAAGAGAGCGAATTTACAGTACTTCACCAGAGTCTTGAATACGGGTCTCGGATAGACAGCAGACATCGATATTAAAACTTTCCAAAGACATAGCCAGCCCTATCTGTTGTCCAACCTGCATAAGTGTGCGAACGTTGAAGGCAGCCAGTTTGAATGGTGCATGTGGTTTCAGAAAAACTGCTTCAGTACTCATATTCAGTGGTAACATACAACTTTCAACCGGACAGTGACTCGAGAACGTTTAGATACAGTCGAATTTCCACCAAAGACGAGCCGCTGTGTAAGTATAAAAGAGGGTGAATAATGTGGTAAATAGTAATAATAATAATAATAATAATAATAATAATAATAATAATAATAATAATAATAATAATAATCATTTGAATCATTTGATTGTTATTCGAAGCGAGAAAAGTAGTTTCCATAGATATAGAGAGTTATTATTTGCGTGTGGGCTGCGATACTGCCCGGGTGCGCAGACCGAAACAGGTGGTTATCCTCGGGGGCCACACCCCGAGCCTTTGACCTAACGGTCTAACCCACAAGGCAGTGGAGCATCGTAAGGAGATGCAGTCCCATGGTAACCGGTGACCAAGGATTGGTTCATACGCCATTTGTCCCATGTGCACCATTGGTTTGGGATCCGGTTAAAGCGCCGGACATTCGCTTTTCGTCCTCTCATTTTCGTAAACAAACACCCTCGCCACGAGAAGGCAATGAGTAGGACTTCCCTGGCAGAGGCTGTATACGTGTGGCCGTGTGAAAGTATTTCGAGAGGGAGAACGGACTCTCCCCACTCTCGGCCGTACCAGGGCATCACACTCCCACATCACAGACAATAACGACCACCTCACATACAACATAATACCAAAACCACACCATCACAGACAATCAACAACACCAACACGTCACACTCTCAACATTCTCACTCCGTTCCGTGTCACTTAGAGACTTCGTCGTCGGTGGAGTGGCCGAGTGGTCGCGCTACAGAGAACCATATCGACCACATTTGCACCACTCAAAAATTCAGAAGGTCAACGCAAGACGTGAGAACCAGGAAAGGAGATGACATAGCTTGAGATCACCACCCGGCGGTTGCCAAGATGAAACTGAAGCTAAAGAAACACTAGACAACTGGAGAAAGAGCGTTACAACGGTTTAATATCTGCGACATACAGAAAAAGTCGACCAATTCAAGATAACTCTCAGCAACAGCTTCCAAGCCGTACAAGATCTATTCAAGGAAGAGGAAGTTACTGTGGAAAACCATTGGAAAGGGATAGAAGGAGCACTAACTTCAACGTCTCAAAAGTGCTGAGTCGAAAAAAGCATCATAAAGAATGGAAGTCTATTGAAAAACTGGACAAGATTCAAGAAAGGAAGAACAAGAAGACAGAAATTAACAACAGCCGAACAAGAACACAGAAATTCAAGGCACAGATCAAATGCACAGAAGCAAATAAACAAGTGAAGAGCAGCATTAAAACCGATAAGCGGAAATACGTGAAAAACCAAGCAACGACAGTGGAAAAAGTTGCAACAGAAGGAAATATGAGACAACTATATGACACAACAAAGAAACTGGTAGGGAAATACAATAAACCAGAAAGACCGGTCAAGGACAATGAAGGCACACCAATCACTGAGATTCAAGGACAGAGGAACAGGTGGGTAGAACACTTCGAGGAACTATTAAACAGACCAGGTCCACTAAACCCACCAGACATCGAGGCAGCGCACACAGACATTATTATAGCTGTCACTCCACCAATGATCGAAGAAATCAGCACGGCATTCAGACAAATTAAGAGTGGGAAAGCAGCAGGACCTGAAGCATTGAAGTCAGACAAAGAAGTAACTGCAAACATGCGCAATGTTCTATTCACGAAGATTTAGGGGAAAAACAAGTCCCACTGATAGACTTAGAAGAAGAATACTTTATCAAGACACCAAACAAAGGAAATCTGAGTAAGTGTGAGGACTACAGAGGCATCACACTACAATCGGTACAATAGAGTGTTGCTGAACCAGATGAAAGATTCAGTAGACATCCAGATTCCAGATCAACAGGTTGGATTCCCTAAGGATATATATATATATATATATATCTTAGGATATTAACTTATGAGATGAATAGTTTCTTAGAACACTATTAAACTAACACTATCACATAATGTTGGCAACAAAATTTTCCTCATATAGACAACAATCATACAATTCTTAAAATTTTGTAATCTAATAGCAAACAATAAATAATTAGGAGTCTCTTCTCAAACTTACTCAACAAGAGCTTTTAATGCGGATCCGCGAGAATCAACCCAGAATTTTGTCTTTGAAGTCGATTTACAAGCACTAGTGACAGTATCCAGTAAATCAGCAACATGTCCACAATACAAACTACTCGGAGCTGCACCAATAATTTGTAAATAACCGGAAAGTTCCGATTCAGAATTAGTATTTAAATGAAGTAAAAAATTCCTGTATAATAAATCTGAAAATGAAAACAATTTACAAGTTATGAGTTTAACTAAAATACAATGCTTAGTAACTTGATTTACCTATCGATATCATTAATATATAACTCAAAAATAACATCTACGTACTCGACAAGAAATAAGGTTTAGCAGACAGATTGAACGAAGTAAATAAAAATGATACTTTTAAGTTGGGTTGAATCTATTATTCAAGTAACTATACAGTGAACTCAAAGACGAATTATTGACTAAACTAAATATATTTTGAGTTTCTAATAGTACTTTATTGAACTTGGAATTCGATATTCCACATATCCACCTAAAAAATGTAGGGTTGAGTTTGAACTTGATTTTACTTACTTCAAGTAGGATATTCTGATACCAAATAAGTATGATCTGATGAATGATCCTGAACAAATTGTGAGAGTTAACGCACGAAGTAAAACCAAGAGAAAAATATAATTTAATGGAGCACTACTATAATAAATCTTACCAAAAACTATTTATAAGTGATAAATTACATTTGGTCAGTCCATCTGAATCCTATTTGTAGTAAACAGGATGAACTTTACAACCAATATTAGGGGTTTATCAATGGTAACAACAATCTCAGCAGTATAATAAATGTCTAGCCGATTGAAAGGATACTATCCACAAATTCAGAGTATGTGTGTGCTTAAATGAAGATTATCTACAGAGTTTGGCTCATAGACCTAAAAATTCTCCTCATCCATGGATGGACGGTACACAGATACATTAGTAGTTTGCGTTCCATCCACAAGTTTATCACCATCTAATAAACATTGTTAACCTGTAAACAAAGCACGAAGATGAGTGTATTCGCGACTAGGCATGGTAGTGTCTTCATTTGTTTTTGTGACAGGTTGTCATGTACAAAATATTATCTATACCTCGAGAGTAGTTTCAACAGATCGGAGAGTATGTATCAAAGTCAATGGTGAATGCTGATAGATAGAGAACAAATGTCCCAGTAAAAATACCATATTTAGATAAAGGCAGTTGGCCAAACAAAAATTGGTACACACTATTGAAAGGTTATTAACAGGCAGATTAACGTATAATTTATTTTACAAAATTTGTTAAAATACCTTTATAGCCTAATTTCAGTTCACCATTTCGGTTGTACAAATAAGTTGATAAAAAGTGAGGATATGCATTCACAGTAGCTTTCTGAAAATGAAGATACAATTTACTTATTGAGAAAAAAACACTTCAGTTACAAAGTTAGGTTTACTTATAACAGTTAAGCCCATCATGTGACAACACACAATATAACAAAATATAGATTATTTCTTCAAAGAATAGAAAGCCATCTGTAAGTTCAGTTTGTTAATATGTTCAACTTTCATTGAAACTGTTGAGATGTTAAAGTTATACACTTAACGAGGTAAACTGATGTGACGTGCTACTGGAGACTGATTAGAGAAATGAACAGAACTAACTATTGTCTATCATTTTCGACCCAACCTGTGATGATTCCTCAACTAAAGGATACACTACCTAGTTTTGCAAAATCTATGTGTATCTACGAAACCAGCTGCTCCCGTGGAGAAAGCTATATTGAGTGTACGACCAGATAACTGAGCGAACAAGTTGGTAAGCACCTCCATTCGTGGATAGGAAGGGGCATCGTCAAAACAATACACAGTTCTGTTCTATTACATTTGATCGATAGCGGTCAATAATTCTTTCAAGTGCCAACTGAACACTTGAAAGAATTATTGTTACGCTGTACTTTTAATGTCCAGTTCAGTTTCAATAATGAAATATATTGACAAAGGGATGGGATCGCAATGGGGTCTCCATTGGGTCCAATTTTAGCAGACTGTTTCATGGCAAAAGTAGAAAACGACCAACTCCGTTCAATGATCAATCGATTCCACCTGTACGTGAGATACATGGACGACACGTTTGTTGTTTGTGACAATAATATTGATTTAGATGATATTCTACATACCTTTAACTCGTGCCATCCTTCCATAGACTTCACGTTAGAAAGGGAACAAGACCAATCAATTCCTTTTCTCGATGTACGTCTGATGAGGACAAGTAATGGTTCTTTAAAAAGATCCATCTTCAGAAAACAAACATGGAATGGCCAGCTAACCAACTTCTATAGCTGGGTTCCGTTAAGTAGGAAGAGAAACCTTATCCATTCTTTATGCCATCGCATACATCACATATGCAGTACGGAATGCATTAACGAAGAACTCGCATTCCTGAAGAAGACTTTGACGGAAAATGGTTACCCAGAACGGTTCATAGAAAAGAATATGAATAAAAGTAGTCGCGAGAAGAATTCTAGTTGTTCCGTTCCAAAGAAAAACCTTTATATAAGTCTGGAATTTAAAGGTGACCGAACATCGGACGTAATCAAAAACCGTCTAACAACAACTATTAGAAGAACATTTAACGCGGCAAAACTGCGAATATCCTTCACTAGTAGAAACTTATTTTCTGTATCCATAAAAGATAAGCTCCCGCGTCTGGTCGCCTCCATGTGCATCTACCAGTTCACCTGCTCTTGTGGAGCAAGGTACATTGGCCGTAGCCAGCGCTCGCTTTCAACTCGGATACGAGAACATATCCCAGCCTGGTTCTATAAGGGTGAAAGGAAAGCAGTTAGGAGTTCTATTCTTGAACACCTAATCGACTATAACCATTCTACAGATCCACAAATTGATTTTAAGGTTGTTTATATGATTCGTTCAAATCTACCCAGATTTCTTCGTATACAACTTTTAAAAATAGCCGAAGCTCTTGCCATCCAGGAGCTTAAACCAGAACTATGCGTACAAAAGAAGTACGTCTTATCGTTATCGTTACCTTGGCCTTAATTAGTTTGATTATCCTATCACTAATGTTATTATTATTATTATTATTATTATTATTATTATTATTATTATTATTATTATTATTATTATTATTATTATTATTATTATTACTGCATTCCCCCCTCTTATATTCTCATTATTTTATTCGTAAATACTCATCATATCACCTTATTTATTTTCTACACTTCTATGACCTTTAACTATTATAACATAAAAACATTTTAATCATCTTATTATATTCACCAAATCTATTGTTATTGTTATTATTCATATTACGTAATCTAGTATTATAACCTTTATATTAACTGTGTTCACATTTCCTCACGGAATTAGTACTTTTACAAAAACAAAATTTTCATATAGATATACGATTGTACAGCTTGATAATAAATTCGTTGAAAAGCGATCCCTTCGCTGAAATTTGTGTTTTAATTTTAATGTTTAAATGGGAACTATATTTTATTGTCGCCTATAAGAATTTATGGTAATCTATCTTTAATGTAGTCGCCAAACAAAATATGATAATTATGACCGAGCGATGTTAGTCTTGGAGACTTTTATGTATGTCGAATGTCAAAATTCCGAACCAAATCGAAAAAAAGTTATAATAAGTATCGGAAAAACTCACCAATAATTGGATGATCATGAAACGGTAATCTGGCCATTGCACACTTCTGAATAAAATGAGCAGTTGCTTTTCGAATTAGTACACCACTTAGACCACGAAATTTGTTCGCTCTTTTAAGCTGAGTAAAAAAACGATAAAAGTGATAAAGCTTCTTTCATTAGTAACTAAACACACATACATATGATGAACAAATTGAACGCATAACGCATGAAATAAATATTCATACTATTCTGGAAAATGCATTACGTGAAGAAAAGTTGTGAGAGATTCATTTTTGCTTTCAAAAACAATATATTAAGAAATGGTCAACTGATGGCGCTACTCATTCATCGCACAATTATATAAACAAAACTGCATCACTGAAAACCATAGCTATCATTATGATACAACCTTGACAAAAGTTTTTTTCGTAACCAAATTTCAGTTTACGACAAAATAATCGAGTTGAACGAAGAGACAATGGAGGATGCATACGCTAATTTCCAGCAAAGCTCTAAACAGCCTTTAAAAAAGAGGTAACAGAATTTCGGTATTACAAACAGGATCAGTGGAAACATTTGCATTAAGTTTATCAGCTAAATGGGTTTCCTATTATTAGACACTATTACCAACCAATTACATATCAGTGGTAGTAAAATACTGGATATACAGAATACTATCCGAGAAAAAAACAAGTTCGCGAAATAAAAAAGTAAAAAATTAGTTTTGCAATTCAGGATCTAAGGACAGACGAAGAGTACATCAATATGTGCGATTGTGATCGATTATTAGCCCTGTCATTCGACGTTGCTCACCGATGGTCACGATAATTGCGTATACTTTCAACCAACATGATTCGGAATAACAGATAATGGCTTCGAGGACTGATGACATGCTTTTGGTTTGGCTGCTCCTAAACAAATCTGGAGCCCCCCTGAGGCTACTGCTGGTCCCAAGCCCGGATAAAGGAGGAGGGTTGGACATGGGGTTAGCGACCCCACCCCGTAGAAAACTAACTCACTAAAGAAATGCCTACCAAAAAAATTATTCGAACCTTCTAAACTCTGCCCTGGGAGTCAGAAGGTTTTCATTTAGAAGAACTATGACGCCTCATGATGAAAGTCGAGTTCCTTCGGAAGTCACGAGGCCGATGCCCCTTCTGACAACCAGACCAACCATTTATTTAGGTACATGGAATACTCGTACAATGTGGGAGACCGGGAGAGTCTTCCAAACTGCTGCAGAAATGAGGAGATACAACCTAGAGGTGCTTGGGATCACTGAAACACATTGGATGCAAGTTGGACAACAACGACTAGCTTCGGGGGAGCTTGTGTTATACTCCGGCCATGATGAAGAAAATGCCCCACATACACAAGGAATTGCATTGATGCTGTATAAACAAGCACAAAATGCACTTATAGGATGGGAATCTCATGGACCAAGGATCATCAAAGCCTCATTCAAAACAAAGAACGAGGGCATTACAATGAAAGTCATCCAATGCTATGCGCCTACCAACAACCACAATGAAGACGCTAAAGATCGATTCTACAATAGGCTGCAGTCAATCGTCAAGAAGCGCCCAACAGAGGACTTGACCATTCTTATGGGAGACCTAAATGCCAAGGTTGGAATGAACAGCACCGGATATGAAGACATTATAGTGTGGTGAACAATAACAGCGGTGGGGACAATCTAATATATCTAACACAAAATTACTGGACCTGTTAATAAAATCTAACAATCATATAGTAAATGCTTAATTTGCAAAATGTCCACCAATTGTCTCAAAATGACTTCATTGTTCTTGCATCGTCATACAAATTGCATCCTGTTTTCATTCTTTACTGTTCGATCCTCTTGTCTCTCTGCTGCCAGACCTTCTGTTCATGACTAACAACATATACTACTTATGTCAATATAAGTAGCACACACCACAATGGGACGACATGGACTGGGAGAAAGGGACGAAAATGGTGGGAGATTTTCAAACCTATGTGCCTTCAACAAACTGGTCATAGGCGGCACTATATTCCCACATAAACGCATGTACAAAGCCACGTGGATTTCACCGGACCACACTACACAGAACAATATCGACCATAGAAGTCCAGGAGGACGATGGAGGACGTGAAAACCAAGAGTGAAGTTGATATAGCATCAGATCAACACTTGCTGGTCGCCAAGATGAAATTGAAACTCAAGATGCACTGGACAACGGGGCGGACAACATCACAAAAGTTTAATACGGCTTTTCTTCGGGATACTGACAAACTCAACAAATTCAGGATAACCCTCAGCAATAGGTCCCAGCCCTTTCATGATCTACTCAATGGAGATGGAACTACTATGGAGAGCAACTGGAAAGTGATAAAAGAGACAATCACTTCAACGTGTCATGAGGTTCTGAGCCACAAGAAGCACCACCACAAGGAATGAACCATTGTTGATACACTGGATAAGATTCAAGAAAGGAGGAACAAGAAAGCAGCAATCAATACCAGCCAAACAAGAGCAGAAAAATCCAAGGCACAAGCTGAATACACAGAAGTAAACAAACAAGTGAAGAGGAGCATCAGAACCGACAAACGTAAATATGTGGAAGATTTAGCGATGACGGCAGAAAAGGCTGAAAGAGGACCAGACAACATTCCAGCAGAGGCACTGAAAGCAGACGTAGCGGTGACTGCAAGGATACTCCAAATTCTATTCAGCAAGATTTGGGA